TTCCTTTTCTGAAAATTTCAGTTTCCTAAGCTACCTGCAACAAATACTTCTTTCTTTTTTAATTAGACCAAAAATGTTAATTTAAAAAAGAAAAAGTTGGAAGTGGACTTCAGGTAAATATTCATTTCCACTGTACACTTATTTAAAATGCTCATCTTTTTTAATTTATTTATTGTACTTTAGTTGAAGGTTTACAGAACAGTTTCTCATTAAAAAGTACACATATTGTTTTATGACAATGGTTAACAACCCCACAACGTGTCAACTCTGTCCCTTCTCAACCTTGGGTTCCCTATTACCAGCTTTCCTGTCCCCTCCTGCCTTCTAGTCCTTGTCCCTGGACTCTTGTGCCCCATTAGTCTCGTTTTGTTTTATGCAGCTCTCTAATCTTTGGCTGAACGGTGAACCTCGGGAGTTGATTTCATTGCTGAGCTAAAAGGGTGTCCGGGGACTATACTCTGGGGGTTTCTCCAGTCTCTCTCAGGCCAGTAAGTCTGGTCTTTTTTGTGAGTTAGAATTTTGTTCTGCATTTTTCTCCAGCTCTGTCCAGGGCCCCCTGTTGTGATCCCAGTCAGAGCAGTCAGTGGTGGTAGCCAGGCACCATCTAGTTGTACTAGACGCAGTCTGGCGGAGGCCATGGTAGTTGTGGTCCATTAGTCCTTCGGACTAATCTTTCCCTTGTATCTTGTTTTCTTCATTCACCCTTGCTCCCAGTGGAGTATCTTAGATGGCTGCTCACAAGCTTTTAAGACCCTAGACGCTACTCACCAAGGTAGAATGTAGAACATTTTCTTTATAATCTGTGTTATGCCAGTTGAGCTAGATGTTCCCCAAGACCATGGTCCCCACAGCCCTCCACCCAGCAATTCAGTCCTCGGGGAGTTTGGATGTGTCTGTGGATAAAATGCTCATCTGTTCTATCTGTCCTTCAGTGAACACACATTACCCACTTGAGTTAATTCCTAGTCTGATGGGTCCATCAAAGTTAAATGTTTTTTATCGTTTAATTCACCAGGAAGTGAATTTAGATTAAGTTCCGATTAAATGATTTATTCTGCTCATCAAACCTTCTTGAGCACATGATATAGAACTAATAAATAGCACTTAGAGTAATTAGACAGTAATTTTTTGCAGAAGTTAAGTACCTTTGACTTATTTCTCGTGCATTTTAGTAGGCTTATCAAGACCAGCAAGTTGAAAATACAATGACAGAACCATCAGTTCTTTGCCTAACAAAGCTGCAAGACTATTTGAAATCAATCAATGCACATATTTCATAAATCCCAGTTGATTTGAGCTTTATTATCATCACAGTATATTCAGTAATTTTAGTTCTTCTTAAACATTACGACCCCTGCTTTTTACGCTGAAAAAGCTGGATGACATGGAGAAAATGGTAGATGTTGATATTTGCAATCAGTATTACTACTGTATATTTCACAAGCCAGTCCTTCGCAACAATGACTTTATTAAGCCAAATGATATGTGTAATCTAAGGTGCTTAGGGACAGAAAGCTTCCTTAATTATGCCAGTCTGTCCTTTGTGATTTTGATTGCTTTATTCTTTATTTCCCTGACAGCTTTATTAACCTCTCAGAAGAGGTATGTATAAAATTCTACTTTCTGGAGTGTGATAGGTGCTCTTCTTCTTTTTCACTTTGAACCCCCAATATTATTCTCCAAATACCATATACAAGTTTTTGTGATATACATAGTTCCTCAATAATTATAATCACTTTGTCTTTACTAGAAATAATTTAAAAAGATAGATCCAGGTTGTAGCGCAGATGAATTCGCTTTTCTAGATACGTAGAACTTTGCAGCACATTTTAATATATGACTGAACTTTTTTCAGAGCCATTGAGTCTAGTTTAATCATTTTGTGCTGCCAACTACAGATCATAGACTATAGAACATAGTTTAGATTCTTATATGTAAGGTTTTCCAACCAAGTCGCATAGATAATTTTTAGATAAAAATTGTGTGGCCTCAGATATTCATTTATTCAGCAAATATTTATTGAGCGATGGCTGTGTTGGGTAATATGCAGTATTAATTATCTTTCATTTTTTAACATGGAGCACAGCTCTACTATAATTTTTTAAATGTCAAGAACACTGTTACTTATCCAAGTGTAAAATCTACAGAGAAGTAAAGAAGATGATTTTATATTACACACTTAAGCAATCTTTTCTTAAGTAAGCAGTCTTTTCCTGATGTGTGCCTATTTGACAAATCTAGCACATATGCTAATTTACTTTAGCTACCTGACAAACCAAGAAAACTGGTGTGATCAATTTTTAAAATATTCCACTGGTTCTTTGTGAATTGCCACACCAAAGGAAAATAACAAGAACTGTCTTATTAAAGTAACACCAAGGTGATATATTAACATGTTTAAGCAAATAAAAATGTCCTATCCTTGATTCATCTGTTTAAAAATTTATAGTTAGTGGTAAAATAGAGGACATTATAAACCAACTTCAAGGTCTACCAATTATCTTGAGAGAGATCAGATATCTCAGGAGTTCTTTGTAAAGAACTAGATTAAGAACTAAAATAGGATAAATTAGTACAACCTTTTTGGAGGGCAGTATGGCAATACATATTAAAGAACTTAAAATTGCATAAACTCTCTGATTTAACAATTCTGCTTCTAGGACTTTACCCTGAGGATGCAATGATGAAGGCACAAGGATTGTTCTACAAGGATTTTCATAATAGTGAAAAATTAGAAACAACCTAAATATCCAACCATTTGAGATTGGTTAAGTAAATTACAGTTAATCTCTGTGATACATGAACTGTATTATTAAGCCATTAAAATGGGATGGAAGAGAAATATTTCTAATGTTTCCTGCATCTACGTTGTTCACTTGGGCTGTGCACTCTCACCAGTGGGCTCCCTTATTATGCACAGAAATGGGGCCAAAGAGAGGATATATAAAGATGTGTTCAGATCCTTCAGAGAATGAAAAGGATATATGTCCGTTAGATATCAAAGGAAATAGTCCGAGGATCAGGATGGTTCAGTGCCAGGATAAAAGAGTCAATAATAAGGGAGAGGGCTGAGTGGCTCAACCTTAATGTGCATTTTATAGAGTTCCAATAAAATAGTGTTAGTGGTGTCCCATTAGAGGGATTAAGGGGTCATTGGATGCACGGTTATGCAGGTAGAGTGGGTTGGGGTTGTCTATTATGTTTAGATGGTCAGTGTTAAAAAGGAGAGGGGAGTCTCTAAGACCTGAAGGGTAGATAGGATTTTTTTTTTTTTTTAAACAATAAGGCAAGTTGAGCACGGTTGAAGGCACAGAAAGAAGATAATTGATAATGGCTAACATTTCTACAGAGCTTATTATATGCCAAGCATCATCTGAGCAGTTTATACTCGTGATCACATTTAGTCCTTAAAACAATTCCAGATGTAACCACTTCTTTTCCCAGTTTTTTTTCTTTTTAATTTCATTGTACTTTAGGTGAAAGTTTACAGCTCAAGTTAATTTCTCCTTCAAAAATTTATAGACATTATTTTGTGACATTGGTTGCAATCCCAGCAACGTGATAGCATGCTCCCCTTTTCACCCTGGGTTCCCTGTGTCCATTCGTCTGGTTCCTGGCCTTTCCTGCTTTCTCATCTTGCTTTTGGGCAGGAGTTGGTCATTTGGTCTCATATATTTGATTGAAGTAAGAAGCATGTTCCCCACATATGTTATTGTTTGTTTTATAGGCCTCGTGTCTAATCTTTGTCTGAAAAGTGAGCTTCGGGAGTGGTTTCAGTTCTGGGTTAGCAGAGTGTTTCGGGGCCATAGTCTCGGGGTTCCGCCAGTTTCTGTCAGACCAGTAAGTCTGGTATTTTTTCATGAATTTGAATTTTGTTCTTCATTTTTCTCCCGCTTTGTCCAGGACTCTGTTGTGATCCCTGTCAGAGCGGTCAGTGGTGATAGCCGAGCACCATCTAGTTCTTCTGGGCTCAGGATGGTGGAGGCTGTGGTTCATGTGGTCCTTTAGTCCTTTGGGCTAATATTTTCCTTGTGTCTTTGGTTTTCATCATTCTCCTTTGCTCCAGACAGGATGGGACCAATAGATGTATATTAGATGGTCACTTGCAAGCTTTTAAGAGCCCAGACACTGTTCACCAAAGTGGAATTTAGAACATTCTCTTTATGAACTATGCTATGTCAGTTGACCTAGATGTCCCCTGAGACTATTATCCCAATTTTGAGATGAAGCCACTAATGCTTATAGAGTTTAAGTAATTTGCTCAGTGTCCCAGAGGTAGTAAATGGCAGAAATGGGATTTGAATTTTGACTCTCTGAATCTAACTACTATGCTCAGGAGTAAGAGGAAAACCAATACTGTAAGAGGTAAAGGGGCTATTCGATAGAACAGAAATCCTTGGGTCCCATGAAGGTGATGAGGAGTTGTAGCCTCAATTTAGAAATCCCATAAAGAAGGAACCATGTCTAACTTGTACAATTCAGCATGTTACAATCATGGTTGATACAGTTGATTCAATGAAGAGAGGAGTAGTTTGTGTTTGGTTATGTTTGATGACAGAACTGCCTTCCTGTGGGGCTGGTTCATTCTGAACTCCCTGGACCTTACCCTTTTTGTCATCTATAATTCAGACTCTGAAGTGTCTGGGAGTCACTTCATGCTCTGGATGCCCCTGAACTATCTGGTACTAACACACTGCAGAATAAAACTACATTTCTCCTTCTCTGTCATTTCCTGTAATACCTATAAGTAAAAGCTTATGGAACATTTTTGGAGCTCAGCAAAGGGATGCCCAGTTGCTACGCTGCAGTAATTTACACTCCTTCAGTCTGTTCGCACGAAAAAGGCAGCCATTGATCTACCATCTACTCATTTTATTTGTTCATCAGGTGTTGATCATGTGCTTACTATGTTTTAAGTGCTAAAGATATCAAGTTTAAAAGACAGGCGTGGCGGTAACAGAGGAGAAGGCAGAATCATGGAAGAATTTCATTTTCTTAAGGATGAGAAACATCTGAGGTGTTTGTTGGCTGAGGAATAAGAGCATTGAAGAGACAAAGAGAAGGTATTGCTGAAACAAACATGAAAAGAGGTATGAAAAGGGTGAAATATTGTGACACCAAATAGCCCAGCTATTGATAGGTAGAAAGAAAGCAACCTGCAGGAGTTCACAGTGAGTGGCAACCATTTTCTCTATGGAGAATGCTGGTCTGGGAGTTGGGTATCCAGCTTGAGGATCACCTTGGAAGTTTGGAACAGCTTCCTGGTAGTTAGGGGCCAGGAAGGAGATGGCTGTGCATGATGGTGGGTCTGACTGTGATGGGACTCTAATAGGGATGGGAGCCATGAATTTGTACTAAAGCCAATTAACATAGTTTTGTTATTTTTTCCTACTAGCACTCAAGCCTTAAAATACCCACAAACCGCAGGAAAAGCTCCTCTTTTGAGTGCTCTCCCTACTTTTTCTAACTAAGAAGGACATTTATCTATAGAAGTGAAAATCTTGGGCCTGAGCCTTTGCATCTTAGGTGTGAAATTTATTCCTAACTTGAGAGAATACAGAAGGAACAGTCATGGATCCTGCTTATGACCTGCTCGCTAGTGAGGCAACCTGGGTCCCTTCCCTCTGGTGCATCCTCAGTGTGAGTCATCTCCCCGATGGGGAGGAAGTCAAAGTATTCAATCTACTGAGAAATCCCACTCCCTCCACAGCTGCAGTGACTTTAGGTTTAGGCTAACAAATTTTTCCTGTTCGTGGCTACTCTCTACCAGTCAGGATTCTTGCTTGCAAGTAATAGGAATGAGCTCTAATTTAAGCAGAAAGGAGTTTATCAAAAGGATGTTAGGAAGCTCACAGATTCTCCTGAAGGGTTGAACAGACAGGCCTAAAGATAGGCCACAAGCAGCGCCCCAAATCCCACTGCAGAACCAGTCTGGAGAGAGCACGGTATGGTTGCTGCCCTGGATACAGAGATACTACTGGCACCACTGACCAGCAGTGGTCACCAAAAGCTCCTGCCGTAACCTCTGCCTCTGCTATCTCTGGAACTGGCATAGCTCTCTCAGCCACCCCAGAATGGATTCTGCTTGGCCTGGCTTCTGCACATGGCTAGTTTCCAATTCAGAGTCCAGAGTGAGTGGTTTGATTGACAAGACCTGGCTTATGTGCCGAGCTTTACGGGAGACTAGGGAGGGGAGTGTCTACATTTTTATCTGCTGTAGTGGAAATGGGCTCTTGTAGGAGTTCAGATGTTGGGCAGCTGTAATGAATGGCAGATGTCCATTACAAGTGTCAGTGAAACACATGAATAAATGTTCCACCCCTTCTGTATTAGAAGAAAGTGCTAGGTCGCTGGATGCTGAATTTCTCCATAGTTTCTTTATGGCAAGGAGCCGTGGTGCCACAGTGGTGAAGCACTCGGCTGTGAACCGAAAGGTTGGTGGTTGGAACCCACCAGCCACTCCCCGGGAGAAAGATGTAGCAGTCTGATTCCGTGAAGATTTACAGCCTTGGAAACCCCATGGGGCAGTTGTACGCCATCCTGTAGAGTTGCTGTGAGTCAGAATCAACTTGACAGCAACGGGTTGGTTTGTTTGTTTTCCATAGCAGACTATTTAATTTTTTTCTTTGAATCTTAAGCATTTTGCAAGATGCTCGGAAAATAGTGGGCTTTCAGGAAATGTTTGTAGAATGAGTTAATAAGTGCTTGTTGAGTTTATTCTTTCAACAAACAAGTACTGGGCGTGTGCTCTGTGCCAAACACTATCTTGAACACTGTTTGCAGGATCAAAAATACTTTTTCTTAATAGTCAAGAAAGAAGCAATCAAGGACTGGGCTACCAGGCAAGAATCAAAAGATGAGGATTAGGATCTAGAGTGGAGAAATACTGCTTAGACAAGAAGCAGAGTAACTAGGTCCTTCCTGAGTTGACACTGGGAACTTGGCAGGCCAGGGGTACAAAGGGTGGAAAAACTTAACTAGTATCACAGAGATGGCAGGGAGTCCCTGGGTGGCACAAATGGTTAAGCTCTCGGCTGTTAACTGAAAGGTTTGAGGTTTGAGTACACTCAGAGGTGCCTCAGAAGCAAGGCCTGGTAATCTTCCAAACAATCAGCCACTGAAAACCTTATGGCACACAGTTCTGCCCTGACACACGTGGGGTCACCATGAGTCAGTGTCGACCGGATGGCAACAGGTTAGAAATGGTGGGGATGGAGGGGGGGTGGACAGTCACTGGGAGCAGAGTGGAAAGGCTGCACTTTAAGCTGTCCTTGCTCTCATCTGGCTCCGGCATTTCTAGGCAAGTTGCTTATTCATTTTTAAGAAAGTTGTAACACTTACTGGTTTTTCTCTAAGTTACTCTATTGTATGCTTAATTTGTAGCAAGCAATTAAATGTGTTATATTTGTCAAGCTCTTAGAACAGCTTCTGGCATGCTGTAAGTACTAGATAGCCATTTATTAAATAAATAGAAATAAAGCAATGTTTTGTTTCTGATACTTCCACAAAACATAAAAAATAAAAACGAGAACTCAAATTTAACCAGTCAGATACCAGGTGTAAGTGATGACCAGGGATGGGCGAAAGGAGGGAGTCATTGCTTAAGGGACATTGAGCGTCTGTTACAGGTGATGGAAAAATTGGAAACAGATAATGGTGATAGTTGAACATGATGAACATAATTAATGTCACTGAGTTGTACATGTGAAGAATGTTGAAATGGCAAATATTTGTTAAATATATATTTGCCACAATTAAAAAAGAAAAGTACTAGGTGTATTTTTACACCTTTTGATCTTGGCCTTCTTCATACAGCACCATTTACTTGACATTTATTAGGTGCTTTCCATGTCCTGGCTGTAGCACAAGCAGCACGGCCCTTCCCCTGCCTCTTCATGTTGGCCGATGTTCCCTGGGGAAAGCCGTCTGACTGCTAGGTTCTGTGCATTACCCAGGCCTGGACTCAGTCATTCCACTCTTTCTTGTTAACTCTTTGATGTTTTCTGAAGGTTAGAAGAATTTTTTTTTCCATTCAGCTTTTTCAGTTGTCGTTAGTGGTGGGTTCGTCCATTTTACCTTCTGTAATTACTAGAAATGAGAATCCTAGTCTATGTAGTGCATGTAGTTTAACTCATAGAATCCTCATGAGAACCTAAAAAGGTAAGTAATGAGATTTTCTCAATTCCACAGATGAGGAAAATGCAGCTCAGAGAGTTTAAGTTCCTTGCCAAGGGTCATAGAGTTGATTGATAATGGAACCTGAATGTGAACCCAGGCAGTCTGGTTTCAGAGCTCGTGTTTTTAATTAACCCCTATGTCCACCCATTTTCTTTCATCATCAAAAGGCCTCTTTTAAAAGGTCAAACAGGTATTTACCTAAATATGCTTCCCTTACAAGTTAGGGCACAGCTTGACAAAAGCCTAGCCAGAAAGAATTTAATATCAATAAGTATATTCTGGAGACCCTGGGTGGTGCAAATGGTTAACACACTCAGCTGCTAACCAAAAGGCTGAAGGTTAAAGTCCACCCAGAGATGTCTCAGAAGAAAGGCCGGGTGATCTACTTCCAAAACATCAGTCATTGAAAACCTTACGGAGCATAATTCTCTCTGACGCACGTAGGGTCGCCATGAGTCAGAGTGGACTTGATGGCAACTGGGTTTTTTTAGTATAGTCTACATATTTTTAAATGGCTGTATAATATGCCAATGTACATGCCCAGTTACTGTAGATTTAGATATGTATATTTCCATGAACGTGTCAGTCTTTGAGGGAGAAAAATTTGATTGAATTTTGCCAAAATTATCTGTGTTGTTTCATTGAATTTGGTCAGAGCATGCAGAGATGAAATATATGCATCCAGTAGTTGTACTACTTGAAAGTCTAGAATGGAAATAAAAATTTTAAATATGGATTGTTAGTTTTAAGCTTTGATTAACTCTGGAAAGTGGCATCAGTGAATGGGACTCAAAAAGCTCCATTTGTGTGCAAAACATCTTATGAGCCAAAAATTCCCTGGGATTGTGCCAAGGCAGAGACTTTTGTGCACCTAAAATGGCTGAAAACCCATTGGGACAACCAAGGTCCTTCCAGAGTGCTAAAGGAATCCAAGTATATTCCACAGTATTCCATCCGAGAAACCAAATTCCCAAGAGGCACCAATAGCGAAAGCAGCGTCATTGCTCCTGTTCCATTTTGAACAGATGCGTCTCCTTGTCAGATCCAAACTGGTTTGGTTTTATTATTTTTTCCTAGACAAAGAAAGCTCTGGTCTGTTCTGCCTTTGGTAAGACTAGAGGCCTAACATATATTTCAATTTCTTTTGACAGAGAAAAAGACAAGCATATGAATCTAATCTCATCTGTGATGGCCTGCAGCTAGAAGCAACTAGATCCGTGAGTACTGGCCCCTTTGAACCCTTGGCTGACCATTGTGCTTTGGAACCTACATGCCACTTGGAATGCTGGATGGCATTTAAAACATGCAACCTGGCTACACCTTAGTCCTGACACTGCGAGAGGAATGTAGAAAATCTGCATTATAGATTGTATATTTACTTCTGATTGAAGCCAGTAGATCTTTCTTAATAGCCAAAGAATGTAATAATAAATGTGTGTCTAAATGATTATACTTTCTTCTCTTACGAACCTTTTTAACTTTTATCTTTGTATTATACAAGTAATACAGTTACGTTAAAAAATCAGAAAATGTAAGAATAGTGAAAATAAAAATCCATCTGTATCTTAATTCTCTAGAAATAACCTATACGCCTTTTAAACTTTTTTTCCTCAAATGTACATATTTTTCCCTTTCAAAAAGTGGAATTATTATTTCAGTTTTATGATTTGTTTTTTTACTTGACTGCGTGATAAATATATTTTTCTATCAATAAATGTCATTCTTTGATATCCTTTCTGTGACCACATAACATGCTATTGAAGACATATAATAAATTAAGTAGTCCTTTTCTAGGTTTATGAAATTAAAAAAAATTTTATTACAATAAACAGCAGTGCATGGAATATTCTAGTGTTTTTATTTTTAGTCACTAATTTGGATGTAGTGCAGAGCAATTAACAAGTTTGGTTTTCTTCAATTAAAATATTAGTAATTTTATAAAAGAACTGTGATAAGGATTTGAATTTCTTTTTCAGTAACTGAAACCATGAAATTCAGTAACTCAAACCATGAAATTATCTGTAAGATAAAAATTTATGATGGTTTGCAAATCTATTTTTATTATGTTTTCACTTTTACTTGTGTGTGTATATTTTTCCTTTTTTATCTGTCAGCAACGTAAGAAAAATCTATGTGTTTTAAACTGAAGTGAAAATAGTTGGCTTGGTTTTCTGGTCTGTTTCTGTTCTTCCAATATAGGTTTTGGATGATAAACTTGTATTTGTGAAAGTACATGCACCTTGGGAGGTGTTATGTACGTATGCTGAGATAATGCACATCAAATTGCCTCTGAAACCCAATGATCTGAAAACCCGGTTGTCAGCCTTCGATAGTTTCAACTGGTTTACCAAATTCCTCCAAGTGGATGAAACTCTCATCAAGCCGGAACAAGAGTTTTTCACTGCCCCATTTGAGAAGGACCGGATGAATGATTTTTATATTCATGATAGAGATGCCTTCTTCAATCCAGCCACCAGAAGCCGCATTGTAAGTCTAAACCCAAATTAGTTGCTGTCTTGGGATGATTTGGAACCTCTGTTGAATAATTAGTAGTTTTGTTTGGTCGGTTTATTTTTGTTTTTAAAAGCTGCCAAAAATTAAAAAATAAATATGCCTACAGGTTACTGTTAAAATAGTAAACCGTGAATGGTTATAGTTACACTGTATAAACCACATCCTGTATTTTGGAATCTTTTTAGGTTTACTTCATCCTCTGTCGGGTCAAGTATCAAGTAACAGGCAACATTAGCAAGTTTGGGATTAAGAAGCTTGTAAGCTCTGGCATCTACAAGGCAGCTTTCCCTCTCCATGATGTAAGTCAGATGGCAAAAAGGAAGTAAAATGCCAAGTGTATATTCTGGTATTGACAGTAGTGAAGAGCTAACCTCCTTGACCTTAAGTTTCCTTCCTGCTAAAATAAAGATGATAATACTGCACGATTACAAGCTCCTGTAGGTCAGGAACCATATTATTTTGTCCACTGCTGAATCCCAGACATAGAGAAGGTGCTCAGTTTATGTGAGTGAATGAATGAATGAATAGCATCTCTCGCACACCTAATGCATGAAGCAGTATAGGTAGTATTTAAGAGCATGGATTCTGGCACTGGAGTGCCTGCTCCTCCAGTGTCTAGCTAGATGACCTTGCAAAAGTATTTAGTGTCTCTGTTCCTCAGTTTTCTCATCAATAAAATGGGTATAATAATGGTACTTAACTCATAGAGTTGTTATGAGGATAAATTAATCCATGTAAAGAGTTAGAACCATTCCTCGCATGTAATAAGTACTATGTAAGTGTTAAGTAGAGGGCCAATGAAAGTGCAGGAAACCCTCAATGAGATGGATTGATATAATGGCCGCATCGATAGACTCAATCATACCAGTGATCCTAAAGACGGCACAGGACTGGGCAATATTTCGTTCTTTCACACATAAGGTTACCATGAGTCGGAGCCAACTCAACCGCAGCAACAACAGCGCAGAGTATTAGCTGATTTCATAATTACTGACATGTTATTATCAACTAAAAAAGTATTAGTTCTTTGTATGCAAAATACATGTTAGACCTTCTCATTTATCATTTTCTTAACATAGACTTTTTCCTCCTGAAATACAGTTTTCAAACTAATGTGGAATATCTCAGGGTTTTTTTTAAAGACACCTGTCAGCATTCTTGTCACAATGGACAGACAGCAAATTCTTGACATTTTTTAAGGGCTACATTCTGAGATTTTAATAAGTTCTCAAATTCAAGAGTACTTCTCCAGCTGATAACATCTCCCATGAAATGAAATTTTAAAAATGTGACCACCTCAGACCCTTAATGATTCCAGAAATGCAGGAACATTATATCCAAAGCAATTTGAAGAAATTCTATCACAGAAATAAATTAAATGCTCTATTATATTGTATTCTTACTTTGTTACATTCACTATCAATTTTACCAGAACCTATAAGACCAAAGAAACAAAAACTGAGATTGATAATTACTACTGCATAGTACATGTGTTTGTGGATGAAGACAATATTTAAATGTACTATGTAAGATAATATAAAATTAGGACAGAAGCAGAATAATTCTGGTTAAAGTAGCTCAGCAAGCTCCTTCAGGAAACAGCTTCTTGATACACATGGATAAGTAGAGAACCAGGAAGCTGGGTAGGGAAGCAGATGCTCAGCTTGCTGGCTGTAAGACCCAGTGTAGCATCCAGCCTGACAGTCTATGTGTTTTAAATTTGTGCTCCAGCAAAATTACTAATTACAGCATGACATAAACTTTGGGGACACTTGTATATAGTTGTCATGAATATTAATCTGAGATGCCATTGTTCTGTAGTATTTAGTTGGTTCTGCCTATGCACAAGCCTTTTCCACTAAAGCTCTCTTGTAATTCCAGTGGTCCCCTATCTGGGCTAGGGAATGAGCCTGTGTAGTATTTGGAGGGAGATGGGTGGAGCTCAGGGCCCATTCTAAGGATTGTTGTTGTTGTTTGGTGCCATTGTGTCAATTTTAGACTCATAACGACCCCATGTGACAGAGTAAAACTGCCCCCATAGGATTCCTAGGCTGTAATCTTTATGGGAGCAGATCACTAGGTCTTTCTCCCACAGAGCAGCTGGTGGGTTTGAACCACCAAACTTTTGGTTAGCAGCCAAGTGCTTAACCGTGGTACCACCAGGGCTCCTTATTCTAAGGCTTGGCTGGGTGGTAAGCTGGTTGTAGTACAGGAAGAAGGCAAAATTAATCGACAGGGGAAAAGAGTGACTGAATTTAAGCAGAGGCAGGAGGTTTCAATTGTTTGTTTCTTGAATAAGCTAAATGTATAACATGATGTTGAGCTTCTCTGTTTATTTTCTATATGTTGTCACAAAATAACTGCTGAATTGGGCGACAGGGAGGCGTGGGTTTAGAAATGACCCTGCCACTAACCAGCCAAAGCCCTGGTTCCCCCAGGTGTCCAAGAAAGGGACTGGACTCTCAGGTATTCCTCCATCATGATGATTTTGTTGCTTAGGCATTCCAGTGTTTCATTGTTTAGGACTGTCCTACTTGTTGCAGGGGATTAAGCATCCCTTAGGCACCCACCAGATCCCTGCAGTGCTCCCCAGGATTGTAACAGCCAACCACTCCTCACCCTACATTTGCAAGTGGCCTCAACGGGCGTAGTAGTACCTCTCATTCAGAATCACTAAATCAGTTGGTATTTTTACCCAGTGAGGGCCCCTTATTCACAAATGACTATGAAGTATTAGTACCAAAGAGTACCAAATAAAACACAGGTTTAATAAACAGATTTGTGAAAACATGATTATTTTGATGCTTACCTGTTTCTTTCTGCTTTTCAGTGCCAATTCAACCACCAGTCAGAGGATCCCAGCTGCCCTAATGAACGATACCTTTTGTACAGGGAATGGGCTCATCCTCGAAGCTTGTACAAAAAGCAGCCCTTGGACCTTATCAGGTGAGTTGTTGTAGAGAGCACTCCAGTGGCAAGCTGGAGAAAGCATCCTCACATGTTCATGCTTGGTGAGCTACTGGAGATTCTGACCCCTCAGTGTCAGCCTATAGAGTCGAGTGCCCAAAAGGTCCAGAGACTCCACAGCTTTGGGCAGGCAGTACTGAGCTGTAAGCACCTCCCTGCCTGTCCTCCAGATGTAGGGAAGCTTCAGAGCCCTTATTTCTCAGAAATAGTGGCTCAGAATGTGGCCCTAAGAGGCTGTCCCCAAGAACATGGTACCACTTCAGGAAATGTGGTCTCCAAGCCTTTCCAGGAAGCTTCTGAAAGATCAAGAAAAAACAGAGAAAGAGAATCCGTTGAGTCCCTGCCTGGATGCTGGCACTTTGTATTTTAAAGTTAATCTGTTAGTCTTGTTATTTTTATTTGTATAATACAGTTTTATAAGAAGGATATAACCTTTGGTTATATTCCTAATTTTAAGAGATTTTTTATATTCCTTTTATAGTAGAGTTGGTTAGCACTAAAACAGTAATATCTTAATTATCAATGAGTTATTGGGTAAAATAAACTTCCTGTTATACATAGTTTATATCTTTGAGCATATAGTTTTCTACTGCAAACATTTTAACAAGTGTAACTTCCTGGAAAGAATTTATTCTCATATAAAGGTTACATGTTGACAGACCTTAGAACTATTATAATTAATCTATTAAGATTGTAGGAAAGCACTTGTCATGTTTAATAGTTTTAAATAGAAACTCAACTTTGTAGTGACAAGATACGGAATAAATGTAGATTATGTATACGTAGATTATGTATGTATGTAATAAATTATTCATGAATTCTACATTTGCAGATTTGCCTACTCTAATAACCCCCAAATCAGTAATCAGTACTCCTCGCACCATAAAATGATACTTGTGAAGAGAGTGCTTCTTAGCTCAAGTAGACACATGAGACTAAATGGGCAGCTCCTGTCCAGAGGCCAGATGAGAAGGCAGAGAGGATCAGGAGCTGGTTGAATGGACACGGGAAATCCAGGGTGGAAAGGAGGAGTGTGCTGTCACAGTATAGGGAGAGCAACAAGGGTCACATAACAATGTATGTATAAATTTTTGTATGAGAGACTAACTTGAATTGTAAACTTTCACTTAAAGCACAACAACTTAAAAAAAAAAAAAACTCACACTTTTGTGGTCATTGTAGACATGCACATGCGCTGAGGGGCGAAAGATCTGAGTCACCTGACGGACATGTTCCCAGCTGAGGTTGAGCAGGCGATGCCCTCCCTTCTTGTTGCTTTTCTCGTACTATAAACGTGTCGTTTTTGAAGTCTACTTAGTGCTACGCTTTTCCCATTTCTGTGCTTTTTTGTTTGTGATTTCTCTGTTTAAAATGGCCTCCAAGCATAGTGCAGATGTACTCTCTAGTGTTCCGAAGTGCAAAAAGGCTGTGATGTGCTTTACGGAAAAAATGTGTGGACAAGTTTCATTCAGGCACGAGTTATAGTGCTTCTGGCCATGATTTCAGTGTTAATGAATCAACAACATATACTAAGTAAGGTGTCTTTAAACAGAAACACATATAAAGCAAGCTTATATATTGATCAGTTGATGAAAATGTTGTGATCAGAGGCTCGCAGGAACCTAACCCAGCACTTCTAGGAGTGATGGTTCAGCATCCACTAGTTCAGTGTTCACAGCCACTTCATAGAACATGACTACCAGAAATAATGAGAATCAACTGTACATAAATTTTCACTGTTTTCCTTGTCTGTCTAATAAGATATGACTAGCTCAGAGTTTGTCTCCTCAAAGCACTGATGTCAGTCACTCTCCAGGAGCTTATGTTGTTTGAACAAGGCTGGTACTGAGCACTAGAGAGAATATGAGACCAAAAACAAACAAAACAAATATAAAAATAAGCATGCAAACAAATGATCGCTTCTGATCAAAATGAAGAAAACAACAGAGTGATGGGATGGGGGAGGAGGGTAAGTCAAGAACTTTACCATTAAGGAGGTGACAGAAGAGCTGAGACCTGAATAGTGAAAACAAAAAAAACAAAAACAAAAACAAAAAACCCATTGCCATCGAGTTGATTCCGATTCACAGTGACCCCATAGGACAGAATAGAACTGCCCTATAGGATTTTTAAGAAGCTACTGATGGATTCAAACTGCTGACCTTTTGGTTAGCAGCCAAGCTCTTAACCACTGTACCACCAGGGCTCCTGAATAGTTTTGAGGATTTGGGAGAAGTCATTCCAGGAATAGGGCAGCTTATGCAATGGCCGCAAGGCACAAATACATTTGGCAAGTCTGAGGAACTATCCAAGGCCAGTACTAATGAGAAAGAATTGTAAGACAAGAAGTTAGAGAGGTAGCAGGAGCCTGGTAAGGAGTTTATTTTTTATCTTAAGTGCAAGGAGAAGTGTCTTAGTTACCTAATGCTGCTGTAACAAAAAATACTACAAGTGGGTGACTTTAAATAACAGAAATCTATTTTCTCACGGTTCTGGAAGCTAGAAGTCCAAATCAAGGTCTTGGCCCTGTTGATTCCTTCTGTGGGCCTCTCTTCTAGTTTCTGGTGTCTGCGGGTGTCTTGGAGTTCCTTTGCTTGTAGGCATGTTCTAATATGGCACCCGTCTTCCCCTTCTGTGTGTCTCTCTGTCTATTCTGCTCTTTTTATAAGGTCCCGCTCAGAATTGATTAGGCTTAAGACCCACCTATTTTGGTAATGACCTCATTAACATAATAAAAGAAAACGCCTATTTCCAAACTGGGTCATATTCACAGGTACACTGGTTAGGACTTCTGTGTTTCTTTGTGGGGGCACAATTCAATCTATAACAAGAAGCAATTGTAATATTTTAGTACATTAACAATTTTATCTCATTCACATTTTACAAAGGTAATGTGGAGAATGGAATTGCAGGGTTGTACAGGAAGCAGGGAGACCAGGTAGGAGGTTATTTGAGTGGTGCAGGTGAGAGATTGTGGGAGCAAATGATTTGGGATGCTTTTTAGAAGGAGATGTGATAGGACTTTTCTTGGATTGGAATTGGAGGGTGAGAAGAATTGGAAAATCAAGTTATCATCAAGTCTGTCCCAGTACCCCATGCAAGTGCCCACTTACTTAGTAAAACCTCTTGACCCTAATAGTGAGAGTTTTTAAACACTTTAATACTTTTGCTTTGTTTTACATTTTATTATGGGAAATTTCAAACATATACAAAAGTAGAATAGTACAGTGAACCTGCACGGATCTATTGTTCAGCTCCAAAAATTATCAACTCATAGTCAGTCTTGTTTCATTTTTATCTCCACCTACTTCCCTTCCCCTTCACTGGATCATTTTGAAGCAAACCCCAAATAGCAGATTATATCATCTCATTAGTGTGTATTCCTAAATGACAAGATTTTCTTTAAACATAATCAGAATACCCTCTTAAAAATAATAATAATTGTTTAATATCAGATAATCAGTGTTCAGATTTCCCTGATTGTCTCCAAAAACATTGTTTAGTAGATTTTTTGGTGAAAATAAAGATCTAAACAAGGTCCAGATGTTGCAACTAATGTGTCTCTCAAATTTCTCTTAATAAGTTCCCCGTCTCTTTTTCGTTTTCCTTGCAGTTGTTTAAGAGTTTTCTCATTCTCTATTTTGCTGATTTCATTCTTTACTGTGTTGTTGAATATATTCATCTGTCCTGTGTATTCCCTTTAAATAAGTAATTTGATCCCCATCTAGGGACTTGATCTGATTCAGATTTGATTTTGTGACAAGAATACTTAATATGTGAAGTGATGTACTTCTTTATTTGTTTATTGTTGTAGTTTAAGTGGAAGTTTACAATTCAAGTTAGTCTCTCATATAAAAATTTATACATACACTGTTATGTGGCCCTAATTGCTCTCCCTATACTGTGACAGCACACTCCTCCTTTCTACCCTTGATATCCCGTGTCCATCCAACCATCTCCTAACCCTCTCTGCCTTCCCATGTCACCTCTGGACAGAAGCTGCCTGTTTCCTGTCACGTATCTACTTGAGCTAAGAAGCACACTCTTCACAAGTATCATTTTATGTCCCATAGTCCAGTCCAATCTTTGTCTGAAGAGTTGGCCTCGGGAGTTGTTTTAGTTCTGGGTTAACAGAGAGTCCGGGAGCCATGCTTTCCAGGGTTCCTTTAGTCTCAGTCAGACCATTAAGTCTGGTCTTTTTACTAGAATTTGAGTTCTGCACTCCACCTTTCTCCTGCTCCATCAGTGAAGTGCTGTACTTCTGTCAGGAGGCATATAGTAAAATACAGTAAAACCTGCATAAGCCAGAACCTGTGTAAGGCAGAAACCTGTAAGAGAAGGAAAATTCAAATATTTTCCACTAAAACGAGTGATAGAAAAATGATGAGACTGCACCCTATCAAAGGCAGAAAACTTGTGAGAAGACCTGGAGAAACAAGGTAGTCCCGTCGAGTTCCAGCTCTCACAGGTTTCACTATATTTGGTTCTCCGTCTGTTGTGGTGATAGCAGCCATTAATGATCATTGCTTGGGTTCATTATTTCATTAGGGATTTGCCAAATGATATTGTAAATCCCTTCTTCGTTTATTAGTTGGATTACTTTCATAAAGAGACACTTACATTAACTCTTTGAGAACCCTGTAGAAAAGATTTTCAAATAGAATGTTTATGCCTCTGTAAGTATTTGAGGTTAATGTTCACGTTAAATTTTCCTTTAATTGATGCCCTTTTATGATAAACCTATAATATCTGATGGCACAGTAATAGGTTTGATGGATTTTTAATAATTCTTTATGATTTTTGGTAAAGAAAGTAATCACCCACTATTTTAAGTGTATTTTGCTAATTGTTTCCTGTTCAGGGAATGCAAACTGGTTGCTGGTCCACATGTTTCTTCCCTTCATTGCTTCCCATTTGTGACCCCTGTTAAGCCTCTATCTGTGGTTGCTAGGGAGTGCCAGCAGAGAAAATGAGCTCTTTCCAAAAAGCAAGCCAAACAGAAAAGAGCAACTCGGAGGAAACAGACACTGCACAGGAAAAAAGGAAACTTTCCCCCAAAACCTCTCATTATTACCCACCGAGTCATAAAGGAAGATATTGTATCCATAAGACAAGGACAGGATTCTGTGTAAGAAAATGACCATTCTGAGACTGAGAAGCAGCTCTTGGAAATCAGAATTGTGATAGAACAGAAATATCTAATAGAAATGTTGGAAAATAAAACTGAAGAAATTGTTGAGAACCTAGAGCAAAAAGATAACTGATAGAAAATAAAAGAGGGAAAAGATAAGAAAAATTAGAAGATCATTCCAGGGGGTCCAATGAACATTATTTAATAGGAGTGCCAGAAACAAGAACAGAGGAAATGTAGAGAGGAAATCAGAGAAATACTTCAAGAGGATTTCTCAGAACTGAACAACATGAGTTTCCAGATGGAAGGAGTTTACTGAACGCCCAGCATAGAGGATGAAAAAAGATCCATCAAGTCACTACAGCATGAAATCTCAGAACGCTGGAGACAAAGAGAAAATCCTGTGAGCCTCCAGAGAGGAAAAACAGACTTCATGCAAAGGATTGAGACTCAGAATGATGTCAAACTTCTCAACAACACTGTAAGCTAAAAGAAAATAGAGAAGTAACTTGAAAGTTTGAGGAAAAGTGTCTTTTCAGCTAGAATTCTGTACATGGCCAAACTGTTAATGAGTGTGAGAATGGAATTTTCACAATGTAAGTGTGTGAGGTAATGGAGGAGGTGCTCTGCCAAGAGAGGAAGACATGAGATTTAGGAAACAGAGAGTCCAATACAAGAGTGAAGGCCAGGGGGATCCCAGGATGATAGCTCTGCAGCAGGGCTAGAGAGTTGTTGATCCAGATTGGGGGGGATCTGAAAGGATTTGTTGAAGGAGACCAAACTGGTAGAACACCTCATGGGTTTAAACATGCTGAGAGAATTACACAACTGTGGGAGATTCTGTGTTTCAATAAGCGTTAAGTACCCACGAAAACGAAGCAACGAATAAACAAGACAGTTATTAGCTGCAGGGTAAACAAAATATTGGTCAGGAAATGCAGAGTAATCATAGCAGATGACTCAGTTCAGCTGTGAATAGTGTTTACAGAATCAAAATAATGTAGAGCAGGCATATTGATCTCACCAAAATTATAAGGTAATTATGCTGAGAGGATAGAGGAATGGAGGTATGCGTGTGTAGGTGAGGCCAGGGGTTGAAGGAGAGCTTAATGCTTATCTTCCAGAGTAGAAAGTCAATAAATGATACCTAAAACTGAAAATTCAGTAAGCAGCACTGCAAGCATCTTATTTAGAAAGACAGAGGTGAATAATCAAAGGATCAGCTAAAATAGTTGAAAGTAGGTGCTTCTAGGAAATGGGGAGGTGGTTGAGGACTTCTCCTTTTTATAATCAGCCTGCTAGAACTATTTGACTCTTTAATAGATGTATACTAAAAACTTTGATTAAAAAGATCAGAACCAAATTTTTAAAAATTGATGTTAAGAATTAGAATGTTTTTGGCAGCTAAAGACAGTGATTAGAGAATATTGCATTTGAAGGATCCTCATTATTCCTAGCCCTTCAGCAAGAACTAGGTGATAGCTTTCAGTTTAAGATTCAAAATATCTTTCTGACCTTGTCACCTACCATATAATGGGGCTGCCTTAGGAAGTAATGAACTCTCTGTCACTGTAAATATTCAAGTAGAGACTATCTGACCAGCTCTCTAAATGTGGCAGGATCTTTTTACTATCCTGGAAGTTGGGCCGGGAGATGTCTAAGACACTTTACAATTTTAAATGTGACAGTTCAAGGATGGATAGTTGGTAAGATCGTATTACAGAAAGTATAACAACAAAGAGGCCAAGACATCTCAAACCCACTGCCCAGGCTTTTCTCTCTGAGGCACTGTTGTGAGCCCACTGTTTGCCTGCCATCCATGACCCAGACAGCAAAGCCACAATCATGTGAAAACGAACACGCTTTGTTTCCTATCTCCTGATGCCACACTTGTCCCAGCCCTTCCCCGTCAATGTGGCCTACACCCAGGCTGATGGACCTCTGGGGCTGGCGTTGCCCTGCAAGCTCTGGTCTAGCCCAGACTTGTTCCTGTCTGAAGCGTCTGAGGACTCTGAGTTGTCCTCAGAGTGAAGTCCCCACTGGGCCAAGTCCAAGAAGCCCTAGTGGTGCAGTGGTTAAGCGCTCAGCTGCTAACCAAAAGGTCAGTGGTTCAAACCCACCAGCTGCTCCATGGGAGAAGGATGTGACAGTCTGCTTCTGTAAAGATTCAGCCTTGAATAGCAAATCACTGTAACCTTGCTATGAGTCAGAATCAACTCAACGGCAGTGTGTTTTGTGTTTTTGGTTTAAGTTGAGTCCATGCTGGACATGTCCTGAAGTCTCATATACCAAAACCAAACCCATTGCCATCAAGTCGATTCCAACTCATAGCAACCCTGTAAGGACAGAGTAGAACTGCCCCATAGGGTTTCCAAGGCTGGTGGGTTCGAACCGCTGACCTTTCAGTTAGCAGCCGAGTGCTTTAACCACCAGAGCTCCTCGAGGTCTCATATAGGCCTCCCCGCACCGCCCCCCCCAACAAAAAAAAAAAAACAGTTGCCGTCAAGTCTGTTCCAAGTCATGATGACCCCATATTTGTCAGGGTAAAACTGTGCTCCATGGGGCTTTCAATGGTTGTGATTTTTCCAGAAGTAGATCGCCAGGCCTTTCTTCTGAGGTTTCTCGACTGGATTTGAACCACTGCTTTTTTGGTTAGTAGCCTGAGCACTTAACAGTTTGTGCCACCTGGAAACTCCATACAGGCCTCAGAACTAACTGAATCTCCCGGTGGTCTTATAGAGCAAGACTGAGGCAGAAGTGAGTTGGTCTAGAAAGTACCAGCAACAACAGCAGTCACCTAAAAAGCTGTTTTAGTCATCTAGTGCTGCTCTAGCAGAAATACCGCAAGTGGATGGTTTTAACAAAGAGAAGTTTATTCTCTCACAGTCTAGTAGGTTACAAGTCCAAATTCAGGGCGTCAGCTCCGGAGGAAGGCTTTCTCTGTCAGCTCTGGAGGAAGGTCCTTGTTATCAATCTTCCCTTGTTCTGGGAGCATCTCAGAGCAGGAACCTCAGGTCCAAAGGATGGGCTCTGCTTCCAGCACTGCTTTCTTGGTGGTATGAGGTCCCCATGTCTCTCTCTTTTCTATCTCAAAAGAGACTGGCCTAAGACACTACTAATCTTGTAGACCTCTTCAATATAACTGCCACTAATCCATCGCAACACGTCATAGTGACAGCATTCACAACACATAGGGAAATCACATCAGATGATAAAATGGTAGACAGTCACATAATACGGGAAATCATGACCCAGCTAGGTTGACAGATCTTTTCTGGGGACACAGTTCAATCCATGACACAAGCCCTTCATTGTTTACTCCCCATCCCTAAACCCTTCCTTTCTGTTTAATTATATTTGGTCTGCCTTTCAGGAGCCATTCTGGCATTGTTTATTGCCTAATCTCTCTTTTCCTAATCACACCTTTTTTGTCCCAAAGTACCCTTTGATTAGTTTTTAAAACTTAGGAATAATAGAGGGAGTACAGGGAGGTGGATTTCTTTAATCTTAGCCACCTGCCTTCTCTCATTCTCAACAATGACTTCTATAAATAATTTGGTTAGAAAGATGTTCCACTACTAACTAGTATTTTTATCGGTCATTTTCTTGCTATTATTTGTGATTTACATTACATCTTCCCTCCAAGGAAGTTCCCTAGATAAATAAAAGTGAGTGTGAGCTGCTGTGTATGTTCATTTCTTTCATGCATGTTAAGAATAGTCATTTGGGGAACATGTAAAATCTTGCTAGTCTTCACAAAGAATGATGGGGAAACTCTGTCTGCTCTATATTCAGCATTTTTCCCTCCCTTGGCCCTGTACTGATTTACTTTGCTTCAACAGGCTAACCAATGGTCAGTACTTCTATATGTAATCTACTTTTTGTTTAATCAGTAGAATTCATAGTTTGCTATGAGAATGAGTATGTTTTAAGTGTGAATTGAGTCAGAGGTTTAAGCTTAAAGCCTCCTTTATTTAAAATCAGAAATTAATATTAGGATGAAGCTGCAGAGTGATTATTTGTGTCTTCTCTAAAAATAATTTCTGTCTTTCTTCAGGAAATATTACGGAGAGAAGATTGGAATCTATTTTGCTTGGCTGGGTTATTACACTCAGATGCTTCTCCTGGCAGCAGTTGTAGGAGTGGCTTGCTTTCTCTATGGATATTTCAATCAAGATAACTGTACATGGAGGTAACCTCTGCTTAATCCTTGATGCTATGCAAAGTTGATTAGCCTGAACATTATTTTCCAGGGTCTTAGACTGTTTTAGTAAAACAAGGCTAACCACAGAACGCTTACTGTGTCAGGTGATTTATCCCTTTTATTCTGAGTATAATAACTAGGAGAAATGGAAAAAATTTTTTTCTTAAAATAATCCAGCCCTGTCTCTGACAGGAATATGACTGTTGGGAAGCATTCCAATATTTTAAGACAATACTTTGTTTGAAAAAGAAAGGAGGACTAGAGGGAGAATTGTCCTTGAACTTCTGCCCTCACAGGAATGCTTCACTCAGCCCTACGGATGTGAGCCAAGAGCAGCTCTGATTTCTTCAGGGTTTCAGTGGCAAAACTGGAGTAGCTTTTTCTTCTGCTTTTAGAAATTTTTTTTTCACATATAAAGAAATGCATATTAAAATGCTCAAAAGTGGCCAACACCTGTTCGATTTTTTTATTTTTTTACCTTTGGTTTTAAAAATTAGCCCTTATGGTGTTAGGGATAACAATTAAGTGATAAAGAAGTAGGTAGCGCCGAATGTTGGAATTCAAACACCAGCTGCACTGTCCGAAGGGAAGTGCGTGGGTGCCAGAGCGCTCCAAAGTTCTCCGTCACTAGTCTGAACTGGGAGCCCTGGTGGCTCAGTGGTTAAGAGCTACAGCTGCTGAAGAATCAGCTAAAACAGTTGCAAATAGATGCTTCTGGGAAATGGGGTGGTGGTTGGGGACTTCTTTTTATAATCAGCCTTCTAGAACTATTTGACTCTTTAATAGATGTATACTTAAAACTTGGATTAAAAAAAATCAAAACCAAATTTTTAAAAATTGATGTTAAGAATTGGAATGTTTTTGGCAGCTAAAGACAGTGATTAGAGAATATTGCATTTGAAGGATCCTCATTATTCCTAGCCCTTCAGCAAGAACTAGGAGATAGCTTTCAGTTTAAGATTCAAAATATCTTTCAGCAATTCAAATCCACCAGCTGCTCTTTGGAAACGCTATGGGGCAGTTCTGCTCTGTCCTGTAGGGTCGTTAAGAGTCAGAACCGACTCGATGGCAATGGGAGTCTGAATTGAGGAACCCTGGTGGCATGATGATTAAGTGCTTGGCTGCTAACCAAAAGGTGGGTGGTTTGAACCAACTACGGGAAAAAGATGTGGCAGTCTGGTTCTGTAAAGATTACAGCCTTGGGAACCCTCTGGGGCAGTTTCTACTCTGTCCTGTAGAATCACTATGAGTCGGAATCAACTTGATGGCAACAGTTTTTTGTTTTTTTAAGTCTGAGTCGTGTTGTTCTTCCCCTGCTTCTGGTGGTCTCAGCCTCCAGAAGGGATGCAACACTAAACCAGGCATTTACTCTTGATCCATCTGGCCTCCTTCCAGGTGTGACAGCCAGATCAAATTTTCTGGGCACCAGATATGAGCTGATGACCAAATTTTTCAAGCTCTGAGCATATCAGCCTGCCTTCCAAGGCAGGGTGCTTACTTACACTGCAGCCCTGATGTAGCGGCATAATTATCCGTTGTATTTAACAAAAGACTCTGAGCATTTTGTACCCATTATGGCTTCTTAGCTAGAAAGCTGCAAATGGTCTTTGAAGTATTCTCTCCTCATCACTAAAAAAGAGTTTTGGGCCAAAAGCTGAATGTTAATACCTTTTGCCTTATTTGTCTTTGGCTTCTCCATCATTTTGTGTATTGTTTCATCCAAAAAATGCATTGCAAAAATACACTTTCTCAAACAAACATAATAAACACTTTCAAAGTGCAAAAGCTGTGTTTTTATGAGGTTCTTGAGTGGTTATTATTCCCATTGTAATTCATTTTATAAAATCACCATGAAAGCCACACCATGTATTTCCTCTAATTCCACACAGTTTAATTTATCTAAAACTAGATTAAAGTTTTGGGGACATATTCCCTGTGCTCAAAACTCTTTGGGCTTTAATTATTTAACTATTAAATATTTAAAAAATTTTTAAATACCAAAAATATTTGTTTTACATAGTTTCAGTTGATTTTTTTAGCTATCGAGTAGATATGTGAGAATAGAATATATACTTAAGGTGTAAGGAATAGTGATCTACCACCCAAAATGAGAAAAGGAACAAGCTTGCTGCTAACCAACAGGTTGGAGGTTTTACTCCACCCAGAGGCACCTCGGAAGAAAGGCCTGGTGATCTATTTCTGAAAAAATCAGCCATTGAAAACCCTATGGCGCACAGTTCTACTCTGACACACGTGGTGTCACCATACGTTGGAATCTAATCAAGGGCAACTGGTTTGGTTTGTTTTTTTTTTTTAATGGACATCTCCTTCCTTAATTTTTCCTTTTAAGTTTTTTTGTCATCCTCTTTTTAGCCCCTACTGGTATTACTGCTTCAACCACCTGCAATGTTAAGTAGTTCCTGTTGATTGTTTTCAACAGATGCCCTGGAGATAAGGCTGTTCATACAAAGTGAGCTCTGACACTGGTCAAATAATGATGAGTCCTGAAAATGGCGCTGCCAGACAGGTCAAGTCGTGATAATTCTCTAGAGATGGGGCTTTTTGAATAGCTCCAGATCCCTTCTGCCCCCTCCATTGGTTGCTTAGGCTGCTGTTTTTCACAGCTACCTTGGTTGCAAGACTGTTGGTTTTTAAGACTCCTGCGAAGCTGGGGTCCTGGGGATGGAAATAGGGCAAGTTACAATGCCACAAAGCTGATACTCATATAATGTTTTTCTGAAATAAACACTCCTCAGATTGCTGCAAGCCTTTGATTCATTTCCAGAGTTCTAAAAAGGTTGATTTTTGACAACTTTTGCCAGTGTTCTCATTGCTTTTATGGAGGAGTGAATTTTCAGAGATCCTTACTTGGCCATTCTGGAAGTGCTTCCCATGCCCATTTATTTTTACTGAGTTATTTGCAGTGCCTCCTAACTGCACAACCCCAGCCCATTGACATAGGGGCCTGTATGAATGGCTTCTCCTAGAATTGATTTGTATATGATATGATTATGAGCTCAGTTTCATGTTTTTTGCATATAGGTATTCCATTGTACCAGCCCCATCTATTGAAATGTTTATTCTCACCTTACTGATTTGTGGTGCCAGCTGTGTCATAAATCACTTTTTGTATATGCAGAGGTCTGCTTCTGAACTCTTTATTTTGCTCTGTTGGTCAGTTTTTCTTAACCTATCTTATGCCAGTAGAGCCTCGATCTTTAGGAATGTCTTGACAGTTCTTAGCCTTCTGCTCTTCCTTTGAATTTACAGCTCAAATGAAGAAGAACTGACATCTTTAAATATTGATTCTTCTAAATCAAGAATGTAGTATATGTATCCATTTATATGGGTCTTCTTTAATGTCTTTCAGGATGGTTTTGTAATTTTTTCCATATAAATCTTCCGCGTTTTGAATTAGATTTATTCCTTGTTGCTGTTGTTGGGTGCTGTTGAGTTGATTCTGCCTTATAACAACTACAAGTGACAGAGTAAAACTGTCCCATAGGATTTTCTTGGCTGTAATCTTTATGGAAGCAGATCACCAGGTCTTTCTCTCACAGGGTGGCTAGGTAGGTTTGATTAATAGCCAAGCACTTAACTGTTGCACCACCAGGGCTCCTTAGATTTATTCCTAATATTCTTTATATTTTTTAATGTATTGTAAATGGTACCTTTTTTGAAGAATTATTTTCTAATTATAGGGACACAATTCCACAACTCATTTTCACATACTGATTTTGTGTCCAGCAAAGTTACTCAACTCACTTATTAATTCTAAAAGTTATTGATAGATTCTATTGAGTTGTCTGTATAGACAGTCATGTCATCTGTTAGTAATAACAGTTTTCTTTCTTCCTTGCCAATCTTCATATTTTTGTTTTCCTTGATTTACTGTGCTGGCAAGGACTTCCAACTGAAAGGCAGTGGTGATAGCAGAACGCTTCTTGTTCCTGATATAAAAGAATTATTTTCAGCATTTTGCCATTAAGTATGATGTTTTCTATAGGTTTTATGTCGCAAGCCTTTATCAGGCTAGTGAAATTCCTTTTTATTCTTAGCTTTCTAGAGGTTTCATTTTGTTTGTTATCATAAATGTATATTGAATTTTATTATACTGCTAGCCTATTTATTTAATTTTTTGATTAATTTTTTTTTCTTTAGCAAAGAAGTGTGTAATCCTGATATAGGTGGCAACATCATAATGTGTCCTCAGTGTGATAGGCTTTGTCCATTTTGGAAACTCAATATTACTTGCGAGTCCTCAAAGGTAATTTTTTTGTTATTCCAAACATTTGCCTATAATGAAAGAATTTGAGTTTTTTCTTATTAATAATAATTTTATTGCAACATAGAAATTATATTGTACTGAGAAATTCAGAAAGATATTTTTCAACTAAGCTTCAAAACATTGTTGGGAGGTGTAGAATGCATGGTTTTCTTCCTCATTTACAAATAATAAACTGAGATTAAAAGCCTTATCTAAAGTTTCATGGTGGAAAAAAAAAGTTTCATGGTGAGTCAGTGTGGAAGGGTAGAATCATAACTATCTGAACATTTCAAGTAATCAAAGCAGAAATTTCAAACCCAGTTTATCTCATAAACATTTTTTAATAGGTTTACCATTATAAGTATTTTTCTTAATTCAAGTGAGTAGGAACCTGAAATTTGTGCTTGAGTTTTCCTCCTTTCAAGTGTGTTGAAATTGTGAAAGACCCTAAATGTTCACTTTGTCTCAGAATATTCTCACAGCATGTATCTGGGTCCCCTTATATGTAGATGGTCTTGAGCCCTATGAGTTCTTAAAATCCAGGAGCTAGGAGGCTGGAGGGAGTTTACTGAGTGACGAGCAGGTCAGAAACTCTAGACAGGAAGAAAGATAGTCTGCTTACTTCCAAGAGTTTTCCTGACAGCTCTGACAAACTATATCTCCCTTGTCGTATTCATCTCTTTGTCCCATTGTTCTGCCATGAAAGTTTAGAAAATTCTTATATGTACTCAGGATATTCTGATCCACTCCATGTAAGTCCAAGAGATTTTAACTGAATGTATTGCTAGGTAATAGTGCAACTTTATGATTTATAACGTGCTTGTACTTATATTATCACTTTTGACACACACAACAACCCTACAAGATAGGCAGAACAGGCATTATAGCCACTTTACAGATTAAAAGACTGAAGACCTTAGAGATTAACTGATTTGCTCAAGCTCACCCACCTAGAAACTGGCAAAGCCAGAAACTGACAGCGGAGCTGCATTTCTTGTTGTTACCGTGTTCCTGATGGAGCGTGATCTCTGTGAGGCTGATGGTGGCACCGCGCACTTCACTCTTAAATCCAACTCTATGTTGGAAAAATTGCTGCACCAGTTAGTTAAGAGGTTTGCAGGGTCCTGTCAACGTGGATTTCTAAATGTAATTTATAAATTAGATTTTATTGTTGTTAGGTGTCGTCAAGTTGATTTCGACCCTAACAGAATGAAACTGCCCCATAGGGTTTTCTAGGCTGTAATCTTTATAGGAGCACTCTGAGTCGGAATCGACTCGACAGCAAGGGTTTTGTTTTTTTTTTTTTTAATTTTTATGGGAGCAAATCGCCGCAGATCCTCTGGGTAGATTTGAACTGCCAACCTTTCAGTTAGCAGCTGAGCACTTAACCATATTACTCTCCCGAAACTAGAAAAAAATTCTAGACTATAAATATCTGTTACAGATCATACATAGTAAATGACTTGAAGATAGTAAGAAGGAAGCTGCCTTCCAAAAATGTTGACTCTTAAATTAAAGGTCTCTAGTTAGCACACAAGGAACCCAGGTGGCACAGTGGTTAAGCACTTGGTGCTAACCTAAAGGTCAGTGGTTCCAACTCCACCAGCTGCTCCATGGGAGAAAGATGTGGCAGTCTGTTTCCGTAAAGATTACAGCTTTGGAAACCCTGTGGGGCAGTTCTACTCTGACCTGTAGGGTTGCTATGAGTCAGAATCAACTCATGGCAACAGATAAACGGTTGGTTAGCATGCGCTCCAAGACACTGAATGTAAGGCAAATGCCAAGATAATACCAAGGCTAACTGTACTACACAAAAATACAAGTGAAAATTCCATTTTCCTTAAGAATTTCTCTCCCTCTCTACACCTCACCACCACCTCTTCTCTCTTTTCTTCTGTTCCCACCTACCCATCCATAAGCACATGATTTTCAAATATGTCCCTGTGAGCATTTTTTTTTTTTCATTGTTTTGGAAAAACTGAGTAAGTTTGATTCTGTTCCGGTTTCCTGAAGGATCCCTTGAGTGTTGTCAGAGTGGTTTATAAAGGGGATAGAACATACAAAAAAATATGAGTAAAATGAGGAAATGAAAAAAAAAAGTTAGAAAATGAGAAAAAGGCACTTTTTCCTGCTTTTCTGTTTGCTGGCTAGTTTAATCATTTCTTTCTTCTTTCATGCATACATTTATTTACATATTAATTTCTACTTCCTCCTTTGGAAAGAAGTGGAGTATTCCCTAATCAACATATATACTAAAAGGGTTAACAAAATAGAAATAGAACTATAAAATCAGGGCCAAGAAACAAGTGTACCAATAATAGGGATTAATATTGTTTTTGTGATGTAGGTTTTATAAGTGAGGTTCTTAGCATTCTGGCTGACAAGAATTTTTTTTTTAAGCATTTGAAATGTTTGCTTGCATCACCTGTAGATTCTTTTTCTTCCCAGCCCCTGTCTGCTTTGAATGTGATCTATCATAAAGTAGATACAAGATATAATTTATAGATTTTAGGAAGTATAAAATGCTCACTAATGAAAATTAGTAACTAATTGAAAGACTTTCCAGGAAGTTGTAGAGGGAGATAGGCTATTTGTATACTAGCAAACAGATGGACCTTATCAGAGCTAGTGAATAGACCATTCTTCACCCAGGCGTGTCATTTCTTTATTCATGATCATTGTACTCATTTTCATATTAGCAAAGGCACCTGTGCCCATTGGAGGCATTTGTCAGTGATGATAGAACCGCCATCACTGGGTTTGAGGAAACACCATTTGTATGAGTCCTCTCCTGGAGGAGAGCCATTTCAGAATACACCCCAGCTTTGTTCTTCTCTTAAAAAGAAAAGTGGAAATTCTAGAACTTAGTGCCAGGGTGAGATGATGGTAAGATACAAATCATAAGTCCAAAAGTTGCTTGAGGTCATTGCACATAGAAGGCCATAGTCCTTCCTCAGATTCACTGTGATAGCTCATACAGGTAGGCTGTTATTTAGAAGCCCAATAGAGGCTTTCAACGGAGTGAAATCTTACCAGCTATACCAGTACCAGTACCAATTACCATCAAGTTGACTACAATTCGTAATTACCCTGTGTGTGTCAGAGTAGAACTGTGCTCCATAGGGTTTTCAATGGCTAATTTTTGGGAAGTAGATCACCAGGCCTTTCTTCTAAGGAGCCTCTGGGTGGACTCAAACTTCAGCCTTTAAGTTAGCAGCCAAGCACGTTTGTACAACCCTGGGACTCCTAGAAGCTGTAACTGTTCCTTTGCCTAATATGGAATGATTCTGTTGGAAAAGACTGATAAATGTAGTAAAAGTTGTTTGCTTTTTAAAGAACAAAAAATCCCATCTATGAATATGTAGTCAGTGTGGTCATTGTCAAACTAGGTGTCAGCTTTAAAAGAGAACTACAGATAGTCCCCAACTTAGAATATATTCGAGTTACAACGAACTGCATTTACGACTTTTTTTTTATCATTTGTGTATTTTTTAATGTATGTATGTATTAAAATATATCTGTAAGTTTAAATGTTATATTTCCAATCCCCAAAGACAAATAAAGATCAGATTTATAAAGATACTGGCAATAAAAGGCAGTAATAATGAAAACTGAAAAAAAAAAATTAGGTATTTGACTTAAGTCAGAACCGACTTATGACGGAATCATCAAAACAGAACCTCGTCGTAAGTCAGAGACTACCTGTATCTTTAGACTGTAGAATACAACAGAGCATTACATAGTTGCTGAATTCTAGTCAATGAAGAACATTTCTTTATTTACATGTCATTGTATTTTACAGAAATTGTGTATCTTTGACAGCTTTGGAACCCTAGTCTTTGCAGTATTTATGGGCGTATGGGGTAAGTTATAATCATTTTATTCAGCTCACTTATGACATTTGCCTCTTTACATAAAAATAAATCTAAGATCATACATGAACTCAATGTAATTGTAGTATACAGTTTTATAGAGTCTATCAAAATAACCCGCTTTTAGGACCTTGAATTTCCCAAGCTTTGGCACCCCTAAAATTTACAGTCCTAAGGCCGTCATATCAGTTAGCTTTTACTGCATAATAAACTACCCGAAAAATGTAGTAGTTTAAAGCAACAAACATTTATTATGTCTCACGATTCTCTGGGGCAGCTTGGACATTCTTCAGAGGTTGGCTGGCTCAGCTGGTCACTATAGTGGACTGGTGGCTCAGGTGGGGCTATGTGGTCTGGCAGCTGGCAAGCTGGTTTGGTCTATGGGCCCTCAGCCGGGACGGCTTGTCTCTACTCCATGTGGTTTCTCATCCTCCAGTAGACTAGCCCAGGATTCTTCACATGGTGATTTCAGAATTCCAAAGAAGCAAGAGAAGGCAAGCCCCAGTGTGCAAGCATTTTTTAAGCCTATGGCTGCGTCAGGTTTCCTAATGTCCCCATTGGCCAAAGCAAGTTATATGGGCAAGCCAGCATCAGTGTGGGGAGGTGGGAGGACTACCCAGAGCCTTGGATACAGGAAGAATGATTCACTGGGAGCCATTACTGCAACAATCCCCACAACCTAACTTTCCTGGGATTGAGGGCAGAGGGTGTCTCAGTTTCCTAGTGCTGCTATAACAAATACCACAAGTGGGTGGCTTTAAAGAACAGATTAGTTTTCTCACAGTCCTGGAGGCTAAAAGTCCACATTAGGGTCTCGGCTGTGTCGATTCCTTCCTTGTAGGTAGTCCTGGGTGTTCCTTGGTTCCTTGGTGATCCTCACATGGCATCTGTCTTCCCCTGCCTGTATATGTGTGAATGCATGTTCATTCTGCTGTTGTTATTAGGTTTAGGATCCATTCTATACTGGTCTGACCTCAACCGATTGCTTGATTACATTACATTAGATTGCATTGTGGAAGCCAGTCCGATCTGGGCCAAATGATTTCATTTGATTGAATCATAACAGCATATGGCCAGGATTTCAGTATATATTTTGGGGGGACACAATTCAATCCATAACAGAGGGAAAGTAGTAACACAGGGCTTATGTATGAGCATTCTTGTTTATACGGTTTTGTATGAGTGGATGTTTAATAAGTACATGCTACTCTTTTACTGAGTCCCCAGGTGGCACAAAGGGTTAGGTACTTGGCTACTAACTGAAAGGTTGGCAGTTAGATCTGCTTTGGAAAGGTCATAGACACTAAAAGCCCTGTGGAGCACAGTTCTACTCTGCAACACATGGGGTCACCATGAGTCAGAATCGACTTGATGGCAACTGGTTTGGTTTAGTTTTTACTCTTTTACTAATAATAACAAAGTCCACTAAGTAAATAGAACAGATATACTCCTAAAGAATGTAAGTGCTGTCTAGGAGCTTTAACATTATATATTATTTACTTTGACTAGCATCATTAATGTAATAAGGCAACTATCATTTTTCTTTAAGTGCAGACTTTTAAATGTTTAGTTCATTTAAATGTTCTATCATAAAAGAAAAAATTATCATTTTCAAAGGTGAACACTTTCCAGTCTCATTGTGTAAGTAAAGGGGAAAATAAAATTCAGGGTGTAAGAAAATGGGGGAAGAAACTGAACCAGCTGAGTCTGTTCTTCTTGAGAAAACACACATCAACACATGCTACTCAAAGAATCAGGTATTTACAGGTGTCCTTGGCACTGTTTCTCTTTACAGTGCTTGTATCTATGAAGGGTCACCAAATAGATCACAGAACAGGCAATCCGATTATTTTTTACACTTTTCAGAGATATTTGTTACCCCTTCTGGATAAAATGAACAGTGTTGTTGTTTTTGGTGCCATCAGGTCGATTTCAATTCATAGCAACCCCATGTGACAGAGTAGAACTGCCCGTGGGGTATTCTTAGCTTTAATCTTTACAGGAACAGATCACCAGATCTTTCTCCTGGGGAGCTGTTAAGAGGGTTCCAACTGCCAATCATTCAGTTAGTAGCTGAGTGCTTAACCGTTGTGCCACCGGGACTCCTTAACATGAACTGTAAGATGGCCAAAGTTACACAGTAAGTTCCGTTGCCATTCAGACATGTAGCATATTTTGGCTGGAGACCAAACACAGACTAATATTTGACACAAAGAAGAATAAAGATCAGATTCATGTATTAAGATCCCCTGTATTCCTCCACTGTAAAATACATTATTTTTTTTCCAGTAAGAGCATATGTGCTGAACACGTGTGTCAGCACTTTAAACTATTGTCTTAACCTTAGTCTCAGCGGAGATTCATAATTAATAAAATTGTCACATCTGTTGAACTCCACATGCTAATGGATGCTGATAACCCTAATTAGGAGAGACATTTTAAATAAAGGGAAAAAATTAATTTTGACACTAGCAAGACAAACCTCAGATTTCTCAGCTAACCTTCCTGTCTTTGATCCTTAATTGCACCATGTTTATAGAACTGACTTAACACATTAGGCTGCTGATTTTATTTCATCAGATGTTAGAATGCAGAAAACATTTCAGCACTGCTTGTAGCACATAAAGGATATGTACGTATGATGAATTCTTTATTTTAAGCACTTTATATCCTTATTATCTCTGGTATATGAGGACTACTGCTGTGAACCTCACTATAGAAAATCTGAAATTGCATAACTGAACAGGCCGAAGGATCATGTAGTTATTCATGTCACCACCATCATATTACAAGAGCATCTCTTTTGTGTCCAGATATATGTGGCACTTAGAGTATTTTTGTGCTCCGTAGGGGTTATAAAAGTTGAGGATAGAAGACCTATTACAATCAATATAGTACAAATCATACACTTAGCTGAAAAATGTGCACCTTTTTAGACCAAGCCAGCCCATCCATTCATGCTGGCCCATAATGTCCTAAAGGCTCTGAACACATTTCCCTCCTTCTCCCAATTCCTTCCTGCTTCTGACCTGTTTTCACTTGATTTTCCTTGGCTCTACACTTTTAATTTTCACCTTTGACCCCTCCAGATTTAGCATTCATCTTTACTTTTGCCAGCATTCAGACTTCACCTTTTTCTTACCTCTTCTGACTTTGGCCATTCTTGCAACTCCCAGAAATCCTATCGTGTGGTCACCAAGAATCCATATCCCCACCGTACCCAGCCTCCGAGCTGGTTACAACCTTAGGTTGGTCCTTCCCCTACCCCCCACACATCTCACCATCTCCTGTACACAAGCTCAGAGGGGTGTACAAGGAACACAGAAGGAGAAAGAGGATGTTCCCATGAGCAGGAACAGCTGTCAGTCCTATTGATCAGGGGTCTGACAGGTGAACTAGCCAAATTCTTTCACACAAATTTCTCACACAAGTCGTTTGCTTGGTGAGGCTGTGGGGTAAAGAATTTATTTTTACCCAAAGAATTTCTGTCTTTGTCCTTGGTTTCTGAGAGAGAACCTCTATAACCTTGGGATGTCCCTAGTGATTGAAGTGTCTTTGATGAGGGCTCCAGACCATACCTAAGAGTTTATGCTAATGAAGTGACTCATGTGGGGGGCTGGCCAGGCTGGAAAGACCACAGAGTGATATCAGCTGACCTCAAAGGAGGAGCGTTGATTCAACTAATTATGCTATGTAATAAGGCCCCAGTAAAGGCTCTGGACATGGAAGCTCCATGGGTTTGCTGGTTGGTGATAGACATCCATGCACATGGGAGGGTAGCACGTCCCTTTTTGAAACTTGGAAGCTCTGCACTGGTAATCTTCCCAGACCTTGCCTTATGTGTCTCTTTATTTGTATCCTTTTGCTATAATAAAACTGTAATTGTAAGTGTTATGGATTGAATTGTGTCCTCCAAAAATATGTGTTGTAAATCTTAACTTCTGTGTCTGTAGTTATAATTCCTTTGAGAATGGGTTGTCTTCATTACATTAATTAAACAGAATTAGTGTAGGGTGCCTCCTACCTATCTCTTTAGAGATATAAAAGGGATTAAAGCAGCAAATTCAGACTTCTAGCCTCCTAAACAGTGAGAAAATAAATTTCTATTTGTTAAAGCCATCCATTTGTTGTATTTCTGTTATAGCAGCACTAGATAACTAAGACAGAATTTGGTACTGAAAAGTAGGAGTGCTGCTCAAACAAATACCTACAATGTGGAAGTGGTTTTGGAATAGGGTAATGGGTCGAGGCGGGAAGAGTTTTAAGGTGCATAATAGTAAAAGCCCTAGTAGCACAGTGGTAAAGAGCTTGGCTGCTAACAAAAGGTCAGTAGTTCAAATCCACCAGCTCCTCCTTGGTAACCCTTTGGGGCAGTTCTACTGTCCTGTAGGGTCACTGTGAGTCAGAATTGACTCAATGTTAACAGATTTGGATTTGATTAGAGTAGTAAAAGCCTAGATCGCCTTGAAAAGACTGTTAGTAGAATTATGGACATCAAAGGCAATTCTGGTGAGGTCCCAGAAGGAAGTGAGCAGAGCGATAGAGATTGTCTTAGAGAATACATATGGCTCCAGCAACAGAATGTTGCTAGAAATGTGGATGTTAAATGTGCTTCTGGTGAGTCTTCAAAAGAAAATGATGAACATATGATTGAACAGTTCCAGTGTTTGGTGGAAGGTAGAATTTGTAAATGATGATCTTGGATATTTGGCTGAGAAGAGTTCTAAGCAAGATCTTAAAGGTGCCATGTGGTTTCTCCTTGCTGCTTATGGTAAGGTGAACTGTACAGACTAAGGACACATGTCCTAGAATGTTCACCAAGGATATGGCTACACAATCTTTTGTTAAAGATATTAAGCCTGTGACTGATGGATCTAATCAGCTACCACAGCAGAAAACCCATCAGCTTAGACCGAAGGGGACAGAGAAAGAATGCAAGGAAAGAACACTATCTGCCTCTTAGAATTCTACCGGCAGGAAATAGGCTGGGTTTTGGGCTTGCTTGGTGTCCATTATCCTTCCAGTTTCTCCAATTTGCAATGGAAATGTCTACTTTGTGTCTGTTCCCCCATTGTACTTTGGAAGCAGATAACTAACTTGTAGTCTAGATTTTACATGTTCACAGACTAAAGAGGAATTTCGTCCCAGGATGGAATACACCTAAAGTCTCACCCATATTTGATTTAGATGATTCAGAAGATGAGATTTGGGACTTGGAGTTGATTGAAGACTTTGGGTTTATTTGTGGGGGGCAAAGGGTAGAATGTTATTAATTGAATTGCATCCCGCAAAAATATGTGTTGTAAATCCTAACCTCTGTGCTTGTGGTTGTAATCCCATTTGGGATTGGATTGTCTTTGTTATGTTAATGAGACACGATTAGCATAGGATGTATTTTAAGTCAATCTTTTTTAAGATATAAAAAATCAAGCAAGGGAAAGAAGCAAAAATGGGGGAAGATTGTTGCCAAGTCACAGGAAGATCACCCAGGAGCAGAAGCTGAAATAGACAAGGACCTTCCCCCAGAGCTGACAGAGAAAGAAGGCCTTCCTCTAGAGCTGGCACCCTGATTCAGACTTCTAGCCTCCTAAATTGTGAGAAAATAAATTTCTGTGTGTTAAAGCCACCCATTTGTGGTATCTCTGTTATAGCAGCACTAGATAACTAAGACAGTAAGTATAGCACCTTACATGAGTTCTGTGAATCATTCTAGCGCACTATTGAATACAAAGGAGTAGTGAGAGTCAGCAGGTCAGAACTGGGGGTTCCTGGGACCCCTAAGCTTATAGCTGGTGTCCTATGGGGGTAGAAGGAACCTCCATATTTGTAGCCAACAGATCAGAGTAAGAGGGGCCCTAGGGACTCCTGAGCTTAGGGCTGGCATCCTAAAGGTATAGTGGGAAAACCCCAGATTTGTAACCAGCAGGTCAGAAGTGAGAGTTTGTGGTGACTCCCAAGCTTGTGACTGGCATCTGAAGTCTTGGGCCAATTTAGCAGTCTGGAGGACTGTGTACTTTCACTTGTGAGGTCTGACCTTGCTCCAGGTGGTTCTGTTCAGAGGAAGAAGTCCTGTGTGTGTGGGTGGTGTTAGAACAAGAGGGGAACAGAATTGATAATAAATGAATTTGGATTGATCAACATATGGTGTCAAAGAAGTGAGGAGTAGAGATTCAGTTATTCACACCAGGGCATATGAGTGATCTGAGATTAGCAGGAAATCATACTTGAAGGCTTTGTAGATTTCACCCTCCAATGTCAACTTATTCCGTTGTAGCTATTGTGCAAGGAGCTGGAACTTGGTAGAGTATTAGACTATTGACTCTGCTCCCTGATGAAGCTAGTATAAGCCACACTTGGGTGGGGCCGTTATTCCTATTTTTCAAAGAGGCTTGGAGGCCTTATATAACTCTTGTACTGGGTTTCAAAGTTGCACAATTTAGACTAGCTTCCTTCTAGCTCCCCAGCCAAGTAGGCAAGAATTGATCTCCCCAGATAACTGTGAGCTGTACTTACCTATAGCAAAAAGCTGAGCTGCTTTGCTTATTCTCTTATAAAGGGATTTACTTGCATCATTAACTAGCAATGGAAGCATGAGGGTATGGTGTACCATGGTGGCAATACCTAGACCAGAGGGCAGTTACTAGCAGTGTGTCCTGGAGGAGTCCAGAATCAGAAACTGAGAAGGTAAGCATTAACAACATCTAAGGAAAGAGCAGGTGCCATAGTACAGAGCCCAAGGAAGGCAGGTTCTGGAACAGGTGAGCTAAAGATGACGAGCAGGCGGCTTGGGGCAGTGTCACTTGGTAGGTAAGAAGAGAATCACCTCTGGAGCCCAGAATGCCTGGGTTTGATTCTTGACTCCAGCACTGTAATCTTGGGCAAGTATTTGAACCTTTCTGTACCTCAGATTCTTCAGTGGGGATTAGTGATAGCAATTACCTCAGAGGGTTGTGAGGTCCTTTGCAAATGTTGTCATTAAGCTCACAACAGCCCTGTGAAGAAGGTTTTATTTTCCCCATTTTACATAGGAGAGAACAGAGACTCAGAAAGTTGAAACACTTTAACCTGCTAACCATCCCTCAAATATGCCACCTGCACTCTTCCTCCCTGTTGAGGCAAGCCCTCGTCATTTACCAGCATTACCTGCATTCACCCTGCCTCTCGTCTCACTCTGCAGCAGTTCTTTTCCTACCCAGAGAGTGAAATCTTTCTAAACTAAAATTTGATCATGTGTTCCTTGTAACTCATTGCCTGACCACCTTCAGTATCTCCTCATCACCTTTGGTGAAAATCAAACTCTGTACAAGGCACACAAAGCCCTTGGTGATTGCCCCTGTAGATTTCTGCACCTGTCTACCTCCACCCTCCTCTTCACATCAAACTCTGCAGTTCCTGGAAAGTACCAGGCTCTCTTTGGCTCCTTTTCTTTGCATTCACAGCTCCCTGGAGGAAATGGCCTCAACTCTCCACCCACCACCTTCACCTGATCAGCTCGCAGGCATCACCAAGACTCACCTCAGGTGTTCCCTCCCGTGGGAAAGCCTTCCCTGAAACATCTCTGTTAGATGTTCTGGCTACATGTTCCCGGAGCTACCTGTGATTACCTCTATGATAGCCTTATAATAATATACTGCAATTATGAGTTCATTGTAATTCCCATGCTACTAGACACTTCTTAAAGGCAGGGACTGTCTCTTTTGTCTTTATTCTCAGCGCATAACAGACAATAAATATTTGTGGATGGAACAATGGTAATTCCAGAATTTCTGTCTAGGAAGAGCTTAGGGATAGCAGTGTGATTGGAAGGAGGGCCTAGAGGATTTATCTTGAAACTACATTTTCAATTGACATTTAATGTTTTTATGTAGTATTTTAAGTTATAAAGCCTGAAAAATAATAAAGATTTCTAAAAGTTATTTTAATTGTACTTTACACAAGATTGAAAAAAATATCAGTTGTCTATATGAAAAAATATTATTTTAATTTGGATTGGCCTGAGGGGTGGCAAATGGAGATTTGGGGAGTACTAAAGCATTCCCCAGCCCCCCAGAGCCTAGAAAGGAGGGAAGGGAGAAGGAGATAGGGAAGGGCAGACCAATGGATGGACCATGAACTGCTTTTGAATTATGGTATTTATTTGTGTTTTTAGTTGTGAGTAAAGTGCTTGTAGCAGACACTTTGGCATGAGACATACTCACATGCACGCCTTCTGACCATCACATTATTACTTTCCTGTAAGCTATAATCTGTCTTCACAAGATAGACTTTTTCTTTAAAAAATTAAATAATTTTTCTCTCTTTTAAATACTAAAAACCAGTTGTCATCGAGTTGATTCCAACTCCTGGCAATCCCATGTGTGTCGGTCTAGAACTGTGCTCCATAGAGTTTTCAATGGCTGTTTTTTGGAAGTAGATCACCAGGCCTTTCTTCCAAGGTGCCTCTGGGTGGACTCAAACTTCCAACCTTTCAGTTAACAGCTGAGTGCTCAACTATTTGCACTACTCAGGGATTCCTGTAAATATATTTATATTTAAATATTAGTACCACCTGTAAGTTAGATTTTCTTTACCATATACAAAAGTGTTATGGATAATTAATATAATTCAGTACAGATTTCTGAAACCTCAGTCATCATTGAAGAATCAATCACATGATCCTACTCTATCTGTTAGTTACCTTGTTTTTGGAGTTTTGGAAACGGCGCCAAGCAGAACTTGAATACGAATGGGACACTGTTGAATTACAGCAGGAAGAACAACCCCGGCCAGAATATGAAGCACGGTGTACTCACGTGGAGATAAATGAGATTACCCAGGTAAGGAGGATGCTATTTAGATGCAATTTAATCTGTCTGTTGCAGCAATTCTCAACCTTGGCTGCAAGTTGGAGTCACCTGTGGGGCTTAACAGATACTGATGCCTGGGTCCCATCACTACATACTCTGATTTATTTGTTTGGGATGTGGTCTGGGCATAGGGATCTTTTAAAGCTACTCTGATAATTCCAGTGTACAAACAGGTAAGGAACCACTGCCTAGAACCATAGCAGACATAGGAAACAAATGTGGTCACTTCTTTCATAATAACAGTAAAAATGCAAAAAAAAAATTTATTTTATAGACTCTATGAAGGAGCCCTGGTGGCACAGTGGTTAAGTGCGCAGCTACTAACCAAAGGTCAGCGATTCAAATCCACCAGCTTCTCTGAGGGAGAAAGATGTGGCGTTCTGCTTCTGTAAAGATTACAGCTTTGGAAACCCTGTGGGACAGTTCTACTCTACCCTTTTGGGATACTATGAGTCAGAATCAACTCGACAGCAGTGGGTTTGGTTTTTTTGGTATGAGTAAATGTGTAACGAAAGACTCATTGGTTTATAGTTGATTCTCAATTATTTATGTGCACCTTCATTATTCCAAACAAATCAAACCAGTTATCACCAAGTCAATTCTGACTCATGGGGACCCCATGTGTGCAGAGTAGAACTGCTCCATAGGGTTTTCAAGGCAGTGTTTGGAAGCAGAACACCAAACCTTTCTTCTGAGGCACCTCTGGGTGGATTCAGATTTGTCAACCTTTTGGTTAGTAGTCCAGTGCTTAGCTGATTGCACCACCCAGGGACTCCACTTCATTATTACAGCCCCATTTTCACCCTAGACTGTCCCTTGTCTACCGCTAAGCCTCAGTCACTGTGCCACCTTCTGGTTGGGATATGTACAAAATAATGTGGCACTTAATCCTTAAGTGGAGCCCTGGTGGCGCAGTGGTTAAGAGCTTGGCTGCTAACCAAAAGGTTGGCAGTTCAAATCCACCAGCTGCTCTTTAGAAACTCTCTGGGGCAGTTCTACTCTGTCCTCTAGGGTTGCTATGAGTCAGAATCGACCTAGTGGTAATGGGTTTTGTTTTGTTTTGTTTTGTTTTTTTAATTGTCAAGTGGGAGAAAGGTTGGAGGAAGAAGGAAAGCATTTATTGAAGTCCAACTATATTCAGGCACTGTGCTAGGCATTCTGTAGAATTATAAAGGTAAATTTGCTGCTGCTACTTCTTTTGCAAAGTTAAAAAAAAAACTATGTATCTCTCTCTATAAATATTCCAAAACTAGCAAAAGAGGATTCTTGAATCATCTGCATTATTGCTTTTTTCCATCAACAGAGAAAATTTAGAGCTGATTGTACGTGCAATCATCAGCATAAGGACAGTAGGTTCTGAATATGAATAGCTTGGAAAGAAAACATTTTTACCAAGAGCTTCTGAAAATGTCCCCAACTGTAGATTTTATAAATTAAATCACAGAATTATAGAATGTTAGAGCTAAAAAGGCGCTGGAGGGAGCAATCTAACCTCCTCATAAATGGAAAAAGTGAGGTTTGTCTTTTACAACGTAGCAAACTTCAAATAATCACTATTGTGAATGGTTCCCTGTGTTTATTAAAGAATACACTGTCAAAGTAGTTATTGTTGAAAGACTTTATATTCACAAATGAAAGGTGAAACTTAGAAATAGATGTTCACAAAGTCTTTTGAGTATAGAAAAACAAACAAGAGCTTATAAAATTGTCAATATAGGAAAATACTGGAGAAAAGCAATTTGGTTTAAATTAAATGTCAGTTAATAAGTAAATCTCCATTGAAACATTACTTTATAAGAAATTGAAGATGAAGGTTCATTCTTCTTTCTTTCTACTTCATTTTACTTTTCTTGCCAATATATTCTCCATTGGTTTAGAGAGGCTTATAGTGTGATGGTTGCAACTTACTAGCTGGATGGCCTTGGACAAATTATTTAACTTCTCTGTGCCTCAGTTTTCTTATCTTTAAAATGGGAGTAATAGAGTTGCTTCTCAGAGGATTGTGGTAAGAATTAATTGAGTTAAGGTGTCTAACCTGCTTAGAATAGTACCTGGCACAGAATAAACTCCATGGAAGTATTGGTTGTAAGTATTATTATACTACAGCTGCTCTTATAATCAAGTAAATCATGAGAATTATTGATCTCTTAAGTATTTAAACATATTCTTGTAAACTACAAAATGGAAACTCTCTAAAAATTCATCATTATACCAAATTAACACAGAAATGCATAGGGGAAAATTAGAATGTACGGACATCTGTGAAACTTCTTGTCCTGCCTGGCCTTTCTGTTATTACTGCAGTTACTTCCAAGACCTAAGACAAAATCAAGAATGTAGCTTTATAGCTTGGTTTTGTCAGATATCCAGAATCCTGAGCTCAGGTCTTGGCAGACAAAACAGTTCATTATATTTGTGCTTGTATTTTCCAAAAAAAAACTTATCGCAAGGAGCACTGCGGATGTTTTGTTGTATATGTGTTTGAAATTATTAACAAAAAATATACAATTATGAGTAAGGAGTCTATGTTTGAGAACTGATTTTTAAAAAAATTAAATGTAGTCTAAGATTTATTGACAGGTCAGTAGAAAAATTGTGGAGTTACCCCTTGATTGAGTAAACTTTTTTTTTTTAATTAAATTAGGAAGAAGAGCGTGTTCCCTTTACTACCTGGGGAAAATGTATACGTGTAGCCCTCTGTGCAAGTGCTGTCTTATTCTGGGTAAGTAGTTGTCAAATTTTTAAAAACATCTCATTTTAAATGTCAGAGAAACTAAAGCACAAGCCTGCAAAAGATATAGTCCTGTAGAATTGTTTCCTGAGAACTATTTAGTCACCACCCAGAGCAACTCCTGAGGTTTCAGAATATCCTGGGTTCTTCCTTATCTGTTCACAGTGGTTCTTCTGTTTTCTTTCACCTCATTTCATTTGTTTAGAATCAGGTTAGTGGTTCAAGATTTTCCAGTTTCTAGTGAAGAGATCAAATGGATTCCATTAAAAAAAAAAAAATTCTAAAATTTTCCAGCAGCAACAAAGTCTAAGAATAGGTTTTAAAAAAATATATAGGAGCTATCAAAGAAAACTTAACTACTGAAAGATGTAAAATAGCCTTAAACAAATGATTCCGAATGAAAAGGTAATATTCTAAAATACTGGATCTTACAAAATGAGTTTGGGGTTTACTATTAATAAAGTCAAGTTTACAATATAATAATTTAATTCGGATTGAATTGGCTCAAGAACAGATAGCCAGATTAAAGAATAGGACATGAAGCCCAGAAGTAGGCACTGATGCCAGTAATAGTTCAGTATATGAGAAGGCAGTCCTTATAAATCAGTTGGATAACTAAAGGTTATTCAATAAATGCTAATGGAACACTTGTTAGTTACTTGGGGCAGGGGAGTTTAAAACCATACCATGAGCCCACATACTAAAATAAATTTCAGAAACATTAAATAAGTAAATGTAAAACTGTAAAAATCTAGAAATAAATATTGATGAATATATGATTTCTAGGTGTAGAATGTCTTTCTAAACTTAATAGCAATGGAAGATGTTTGAGAGGAAAATGTTTAAAGCTTTCCATATATCCAAAGTAACCTAAACGTCAACAAAACACCAGAAAAAATATTTGTTAACAAGTAGGGCAAAAAGGGTAATGCCTTTGGTACATGAAGAATCTAGATCACCTCTAAGATAACACCAAAGATCTCAGTAGCTTAAGAGGAGAGAACATGACTAGACCTTTACAAAAGAACAAATATAGTGGCCAGTAAGCATGGGGGAAAAAAAATGTCTAACCTCAATAGTAAGTAAATCACTGCACATTGAAATGAGGTACAGTATTTCACCCCTCATATTAGCAACCATGTTTAAATGATAAGGCTCAGTGTTTGTGAGGATGAAGTACAGTGATCAGAGCTACTTTCATAGTTGTTGTTGGGCGCCGTTGAGTCAATTCCAACTCATAGTGACCCCATGTGACAGAGTAGAACTGCCCCATTGAGTTTTCTTGGCTGCAGTCTTTTCTGGAGCAGATTGCCAGGTCTTTCTCCTGTGGAGCCGCTAGGTGGATTTGAGAACCACCAACCTTTTGATTAGCAGCTGAGCACTTAACCATTGCACCACCAGGGCTCCTGTACTCTCTTAGTAGGTTATTGGAATTTGACACTGCTGCAGCCTTCTTGAAAGAGTTTGGAACCTCTGATCTAGAGTCTTAAAAATATTCACATGCTTTAATCTACTAATTCAGTTTTGAGAAACTTCAAATCAGGAAAATAATTTTAAATGGTAAGGAAAGACTTATTCACTGACATATTTATCACATTATTTGTATGTTTTACAGAAAACAGGCAAAATATTCTACTTCTAAACACTTGCATGCAGTGGGATGTTGTGTAGCCATGAAAAAGTATGTTTACGAAAAGGTTTTTTTTTTGGTGACGTGTAAAAATGGGGGACAGTCGCACCCAAACCACAGAGCTGAAGACAGAGAAGGGAGTGTTCCTCCAAAACAGAATCTGGGTCGTCCTCCAGGATGGGAAACAGATCCAGGGCAGCAAAGCCAACCAGTGTCCACTACAGGGTGCTTTCAAGTTCTCTGCAGTGAGCATGTATTAATGTTACAATCAGAAAAGTACATTAAGCTATAATCAGAAAAAATAAAAACTTAGGGAGAATGGAAAGATTACCTGCTTCCTACAAAGAAGTATTGAGTATGTCAGCACTCTGAAAGAGGCAGTTTATAAAAGCTCAGAAATGAATTGGAATTCAATCTATACCACATGAGAGACAGTGCTATATAGTGGTTAGTGTGCCTTTTGACAGACTTGGATACCTCAGTTCTTTTACTTACTATTTGCTTAATCTTGGACAAGTTGCTTAATCTCTTTGAGCCCCTATTACCTTATCTATAAAAGAAAGGATTGTTGTGAGGGTTTAAAAAAAAGAAAAACTGAGCTGAAGTGAATAGTGAGCATTTAAAGAATGTTAACTATTACAGTGACTTAATAGTTATAAAAATGATTATAGAGATAATTTTTAAAAATATATTTAAATGGCCTGTCTGTGTTGTGGTAAGAGAGGAAGACTAGATATATCTTCTAATACATTTTCCTCAGCTTTAGCTATTTTTCACACACGCTCAGCACACACCCAAAATGTTACTTGTTTCACAAGTGTTAAGCCTTAACTGTGAAGGAAAGGAGATAAAGTGAGAGATTACAGGGGGAAATATATGGCCTTTTCTACGAACTGATTGCTTAAAAAGTAAGAAAAACATCCTTTTAACACTTTGGTCTGTAATAATAGCTATAGTGCTTTTCATATGCCCAGGTTTAATATTCTAAGCATTTTTACCTGTAGTAACTCATTTAACCCTCACAACAGTTCTGTAAATTAGGTGCTAGTACTTTTTCTGTTGTGTTGTTGTTGAATGCCATTAAGTCAATTCCAACTCAAAGTGACCCCATGTGACTGAGTAGAACTGCCCCATAGGGTTTTCTTGGCTATAATCTTTACAGAAGTTCATCACCAGGTCTTTCTCCCATGAAGCCACTGGGTGGGTTCAAACCACCAACCTTTTGGATAGCTGCTGAGTCCTTAACGGTTTGTACCACCAGGGCTCCTTTTCCCCATTGTACAGGGGAGGAAACTGAAACCCTGCAGGATTAAGTAATTTAGATGCAGGAGTCTGGCCCCAGAGTCAGTGCCCTTAATTACCTCCCTTTACTGCTCTCCATGGAGCCCTGGAAGTGCAGTAGTTAAGAGTTCAGCTGCTAACCAAAAAGGTCGACAGTTGGAATCCACCAGCCACTCCTTGGAAACCCTATGGGCCAGCTCTACTCTGTGCTATATAGGGTCGCTATAAGTCAGAATCGACTCAGCAGCTCTCCACAGGTAAAGAGAGTCCCCTGGTCTGTTACTATAGACGACATGATTTGCTTGGTCCCGAAATTCCTGTTCTCTATAGCTTTTCTCTCTCCTGGTAGTCTGCATGTGCAGTCAGATCCATTGAGTACATGATTCTGGAGTATGTCCAAGAGAGTATATGTAAGGAAGCAGTTTAAATATGCCTCTTCAACATTGTCTAATGGCCATACCTGTGTACCAAGTAAGGAAAAATTAGTGGGACTTTTAATGTGCATTGTTCAGTGGCCAGAGAAAACCTGCCTGCCAAGGAAGTGAAATTCTACCATGTGCAAACACTGACACTGGGGACTGTACCATCAAAAATACAATGGATGAGTGAAATGAATCTTGGGGAAGGTGCAGGTGTGGATGGCTGCCGTTTAAGATCCGAATGTGAAAAGTGTGAAGCTTTTACCAGTAGAGATCCGTTGCCCATACCAACAGTTAACTCAGGCACCTCCTTGCCAGCCAGCTTCACTGGTCCTATTCGGAATCTCACCTGCTGCAGTGATTAAGACCAAAGCTAGCACCTGCTGACACTTGAACTCGTTGCAGGTTCTCCATGGAAGGTAACCTATCCCCTTAATAGATTATAACTGAGCAAAAAACACTAATTCAGAAACTGAATAACTCAAATTGTAAAAAAGATGTTTTCACTGATGCTGCTATCACAGACAGTTTTTACTTCTACCAGAACAGGCTCTCAGTTATTCCATTTGTACCCTGTCTGAAGATACATTTTCTTTTGCCTTCCATCATTCATTTTCCTTTCTTTGAAATTTAACATGTCTGATGTTCCACCTCTCTTGTGACAGTTATGTGAGAGTTACATTACTTCACACATGCACCTTGTCTATTTAAGTATGGGGCCAATTTTTTTTTTTAATTGTACTTCAGGTAAAGGCTTACAGAACAAATAGTTTCTCATGAAACAGTAGTACACATATTGTTTTATGACATTGGTTAACAACCCCACGACATGTCAACCCTCTCCCTTCTTGACCTTTTTTTTTTTTGGTGAAAATATACATAGGCAAAGATACACCATTTCAAAAATTTCTACATGCACAGTTCAGTGACATTGACTACGCTCCTTTAATTGTGCTGCTATTCTCACTTTAGATGAAGGCTTACAGAACAAAATAGTTTCTCATTTAACAGTTACTACAAATGTTGCCCTATGACAATGGTTAATAATCTCACAACACATCAACAATATCCTTACTCAACCTTGGGTTCCCTATCACCAGCTTTCTTGTCCCCTTCTGCCTTCTGGCCCTTGTCCCTGGACTGCTGTACCTCATTAGTCACATTTGGTTTTATGGGGCTGTCCACTCCCCAGCTGAATGGTGAACCTCGGAAATGACTTCACCACTGAACTAAAAGGGTGTCTGGGGGCCATACTCTCGGGGTTTCTCCGGTCTCCTTTAGGCCAGTAAATCTGGTCTTTTTTTTTGAGTTAGAATTTTGTTCTACATCCTTCTCCAGCTCTGTCCAGAACTCTCTGCTGTGATCCCGGTCAGAGCAGTCAGTGGTGGTAGCCGGGCACCATCTAGCTGTACTGGACTCAGTCTGGTGGAGGCTGGGGCCAATTTTTTTAACAGTAAAAATATGATTATTGGTGAGTTTCATGTTGCTGTGTTTATTGTGCTTTCAGATCCTATTGATCATCGCTTCAGTTATTGGGATCATTGTCTACAGGCTCTCAGTGTTCATTGTATTTTCTGCACAACTTCCCAAGCACTTTAATGGAACAGACCCAATTCAGAAGTATCTGACTCCACAGACAGCCACATCTATCACTGCTTCCATCATCAGCTTTATCATTATCATGATTCTGAACACCATATATGAAAAAGTGGCAATCATGATTACTAACTTTGGTAAGATCCAACTGTCGTTGTTGTGTGCCATCAAATCGATCCTATTAACAACCCCATGTGACAGAGCAGAACTGCCCCATAAGGTTTTCTTAGCTGCAAACTTTACGAAAGCAGATTGCCAGGTCTTTCTCCCACTGAGTGGCTGGGTGGGTTCGAACTGTCAACCTTTTGGTTAGCTGCCAAGTGCTTAACCATTGCACCACCAGGGCTCCTTAAGGTCCTACTATAACTATAGCTAAGGTGATATGCAAGACATTTTTTGCACCTGGTAAAAATATAGACTGTATCTTTTAGACGTTTCAATTCCAGTATGTTATAATTTTTAGGAATTTCTAAGTGTAAACATATTTTCTCTAACCTGTATAGGAAGTGAATTATCTACAGCTTTGCATTAGTGAAAGGGACAAAGCAAGGACAATCATTATAATGTCCAAGCTCTGTGTAAACAGATCAGTACTGAATAATATTTTCAATTACATTACATCATGTACCCTGTTGTTGAAAGTAAATAGTCTCTTTATTGCAAATAAGTGGAATAGGGTCATAGCTCTAATAGCAGATATGTTCTTCTGTTGCTGAAAGGACAAGCAATCACATTGTTGCATGTCTTCCCCCATGCTGGTCATATTAATATAGCTCCATTCTCATCAGTTCTGGCTTTTGTAGTAAGTGTTTCTTCTCTCTGGCTTATTTCCCAGGCATCTGTTTTGTGGCTAAAGTTAAGTGCTTCCCACACCCTGCCTAAGTCTTTCCCTGAATGGTCTGCTCAGTGGTCATCTTCTAGAAATGATCAGACCAATTCAAATTCCAAACTCAGAGGATAACCTGTCTTGTCTTCCCCAAATGCCTCCATCAAGTTGACTTTCTTTTTTCTTTTTGTATTGGTTTGTTTTCTTCAACAGACCTACCTTATTTCAATTCAGGAAGACGGGAATATTATTTAGCAGGCTGTTCAAAAATAGCTTTCTGTCAGCCTGGACCTGAGAGAAGACAGTTCTTACCCAGTTGATAAAAACATTGTATTTGTAAATTTTAAGGAACAGTTGAATATTTTTGCCATATGGGAAATTCATGGATGGGGTTGGGGTTGGGGTGGGGGCTCCTAACAATGTGTAAACTTAGAATTAACACAGTGGCTATATTAAGGAATTCAAAACAACTTAGATGGAAACAGTGTGAATTGTATTTTTTGTAACATGTTAACTTATGTATCAGTATCTTTGATTAGGGTCTCAAAGCTGTTCACAAAGTTTAAATCTTTTTTCTTTAACTGCAGAACTCCCAAGGACCCAGACTGATTATGAAAACAGCCTAACTATGAAGATGTTCTTATTCCAGTTTGTCAACTACTACTCTTCATGTTTCTACATAGCATTCTTTAAGGGCAAATTTGTGGGTTATCCAGGAGACCCAGTATACTGGCTGGGAAAATACAGAAATGAAGAGGTGTGGATCTAGAATTATAGTCTCTTGATAATCTAAGCTGCTTTATGTTTTCTCTCAAATGCCTAATGGATAGTTTCTTCATTAGATTTTTTTAGCCTAAGCAGAAGAATATCAGAAAAATAAAACTAATGAAATTTATTTCAAGTTAGACCCATCTAAAATTTAAATGGGGTTTTCTTTTTTAAAATTCCAGTGTGAGCCAGGCGGCTGTCTCCTTGAACTGACAACTCAGCTGACGATAATCATGGGAGGAAAAGCAATCTGGAATAACATACAAGAAGTATTACTTCCGTGAGTATTAAACTGTGTAACCTTGGGAGAACAGATCTAGGGATAGAGCATCCCACCATCCAAATTATTTGCCTACATATTCATATGGCTGTATGCCCAACTTGAAAATGGGTTTGCATCTATAATTATTAAAGGTCTCCAGAGAAGATGGTCCAGCCAACAGGGTAAACATTTTCATTGTTTAATAACTATGTCAAAAAAACCTTTTTTATATTTAACTTAAATCCCCACCTTATTTAAAAAAAAGAAAACAGTTGCCTTCAAGTTGATTCTGACTCATGGCAACCCCATGTGTGTCAGAGTAGAACTGTACTCCATAGAGTTTTCAATGGCTGATTTCTGTGGAAGCAGATCACTAGGACTTTCAACTGCGGTACCTCTGGATGGACTGGAACGTCCAACTGTTTGGTTAGCAGCTGAATATGTTAACTGTGTGCACCACCCAGGAATTCCCACCTGCTATATAGTTCACGCCCATTAGGCTGTCTCTGGTGGCAGATTGATCACAGCCCATTGAGAGATGACCCTTGTTAGATCTATAAACTAAGTAATCCCACAAATTCTCACAACTCCCTTCTTTTATACTATGCATTTAAAAATCAATACTAGTCATTTGATGAGTTCCTAATGTTTGCCAGTCACTATACTAAGTGCTTTATATATCTTTTATTTAATCTCCCAAACTATCCTTATTTTTATCTCCCCTTTGCAAATGAAGATCCTGAGGCTTAAAGAAATTAAATGACTTACCCAAGTTCATATAGCCAATAAGAGGCTACTGTGGGATTCTAATCCAGGTTCACATTACTCCAGACCCATGTGCTTTCAAGGCACATGGGATGCATAATATTTTCAGAGATAATTATCTAAAATAATAACCACAAAGGTTTTGACTTACTGTTTTTTTTTTCCCCTGAAAAATGAGAACAGTGGGATATGATTGTAATTCAGATGTTAGCAATGTAATTTAAAGCTAAGGTCCACTATTCTTTTAAATTTTTGCTAAGCCCCAATCCTATATCAAAATGCAAAGTTCATTGCCATCATACAATATCTGCAAATTTCAGGGAGCCTATTGCATTGGTTTTTTTTATTGTTGCTATACCAAGTAACCACAAACAATGGCTTAAAACAGCACAAATTTATTATTTTACAGTTCTGCAGGTCAGACATCCAACAGGGGTCTCACTCAGCTAAAGTCAAGGTGTCAACAGGGCTGCATCCCCTACTGGAGACTCTAGGAGAGAATCTGTTTCCTTGCCTTTCCCAGCTTCTGGAGGGAGCCCACATCCCTTGGCTCGTGTCTCCCTTTAGCCAGCAACATTGCATCTCTCTGATTCTTCTGCCTCTTTTCCACGTTTAAGGTCAGCTGATTAGCAACCATAATTCCACCTGCAACCTTAAATGTGCCTTCTCCATGTAATCTAACATATTCACAGGTTCCAGGGATCAAGACGTGGACATCTTTAGGGGGCCGTTGTTCTGCCTACTTATCTTTTCCAGGTTATTTCCAACTCTGAGTTTCTGCTCACACAACACTTTTGATCTTCCTTCAGTCTTGCCTCTCACATCTGTACTCCTTTCTGCCTTGTGCCACCCGAATGGAGAGGACAGCCCCTCTCTCTAGCGTCCTTCAAAACCACTCACACACACAGGCTTTACTGAAGTTTGGGGCATGGAGACAATAGCTCAAACAACTTAGATTTTCAGGTTTAAAAAAAAAACCCACCTTTTAAAAAAGTATTTCATCCATGACACGACTGGAATTTTCTTACTTAGCCCCGTTCTTTATAGGCTCCAGCCTCCTGACATTTTGTTTTGTCTTCCCCCACCTCCTACAATGTCCCTATCTTTCTTTCTCCTCCCTTCCCTAACCTTTCCTCTTTCTGGCCCCATCACCAAGTTGCTGTTCTTTCTCTCTATAGAGCAGTTAACTAACTCTGGTTTTCAGTGTGTCCTTCCAAATAATTTCTTCAGTGGGTCCACCCTCCATCTTCAACATGAACTAGCAGGGTTTCCTTAAATAAAGACATCCCTTCCACCCCCACGCCTTAAAAAAGGGACTCTGGTTTTAGCTGTGAAAGTAATTTTTTATAACCCTGTACAGAAAATAGGAGCCTTGGTGGCTCAATGGTTAAGCCCTCAGCTGTTAACCAAAAGGTTGGTGGTTCAAACCTACTAGTGGCTCTGTGGGAGAAAAGACCTGGTGACCCGCTCCTATAAAGATTACAGCCTAGGAAATCCTATGGGGCAGTTCTACTCTATCCTGTAGGGCCACTAGGAGTTGGAATTGACTTTACGGCACACAGCAAAAACAACAATACAGAGAACAGGAGTCCCTGAGTGGGGCAAACAGTTAGGCACTCGACTGCTAGGGAAAAGATTAGTGGTTTGAACATACCCAGAGGTACCTCAGAAGACAGGCTTGGGGATCTGCTTCCCAAAGCTCACGGCCTTGAAAATCTTCTGGAGCAGCTCTACTCTGCACACAGGATGATGTCACCATGAGTCAGAATCGACTCAGTGGCAACTAACAACAACAGCATACAGAGAAAAACACTTAACCTTCATTAAGCTCAGATTTTCCAGATAAGTGAAACTTGGTCAAGGGCAAATACTACTATATTTGTTTCTATATGAAAATAAATACAGGCAGTCCCTGCGTTACAGATGTCCAACTTACAGACAGCTCGTACTTGCCGTTTAATGTTATGTAAATTTGCCTTCATTTTGAAACAATTGAACCAACTCTTACCCAAACCAGCTGCCATTGAGTCAATTCCGACTCATAGCAACCCTAAAGGACAGAGTAGAACTGCCACGTAGGGTTTCCAAGGCTGTAAATCCTTACATAAGCAGACTGCCACATCTTCCTCCTGAGAGCAGCTGGTGGGTTCAAACTGCCAACCTTTTAGTTAGCGGCTGAGCACTTCAAACACTGTGCCTCCAGCACTCCTTGAAGCAACACCTACTCGCGACAAGTTCTTCATCACAATCACCTTCACTTTGCTGCACGTGCAACTTTTAAATCATTGAAAAGGCTTCGAGCCTGTCTTGCACTAAAGTAAGGCTAAATTAGAACCATATTATGCACCTGTTCTGACTTACCTACAAATCTGACTTAGAGACTTAAAGACACAGTTAGGAATGGATCTTGTTCATAACCCAAGGACTGCCTGTATATCAAATAGACAAAAGTCTGAACTCATTCTTAGATTACTAAAGTGTTCTCTGAAGAAGTAGGTTAACCAACACTAAGTTTTGGTAACTAACTGATTGTCAGTGAACTATTTTCTGATTTAAAACATTAGGGGAGAGAGTATATTTCCTAAACTTGTATTGAGAAATTCACATGAAATGAAACTTGTTCCTATAAAATATTTTAAAATAAAGGATGTAATATAATATCCATGATCTGTTTATACCTTCACTTCAAGTAAGCCCATTGTTGAAAATTACAGTGACCTATACTTTGCCTTCAGATATTTCTATTCCTGGCCTAAAATACTTAGGAGAGACAGTATGTTTTAAATTATTTTTCCTTTGTTTGAAAAATGAAAATGCTAAGTGTTAGCCAAAATAGAGAGTGCTTTGGGCTTTTCTCATCACTGCTTCTTCTCTTTGCCAGTTTCCTTCTTACTTTTTCCATACAAAAACCTGACATACCAAAGATATGTCAGTTACCCTTGCTCCCCAAAACTGCACCCATTCTAAAAATACATAGGAAGGGAGAGAAAAGCTGGTAAGTATATGCCAGAGGAACATGATGAATTGTATTTCACCATAAACTCTGATCATACCCCTAGACTAGGATTCTTGGAGCGAGAAAGGAAGCATGTTCAGCACAGTGACCCAGGTCCCCTCTGGAGTCTCTCCAGCACCTAGGCTAGTAGCTGGCATATGGTAGGCAGTCAGTAATAACTAATCAAGTGAATGAATGGCTCCTGTGTTTCAAACAAGGAGCCCTGGTGGTGCAGTAGTTAAGCGCTCAGCTGAGAACTGAAGGTTTGGCAGTTCAAACACAGCCCAGCAGCCCCGTGGGAGAAAGACCTGGTGATCTGCTCCCTTAAAGATTAAAAACCAAACCAAACCATTGCCACTCACCATGATTATGACTCATAGTGAGGCTATAGGGGACCGTATAGGACAGAGGAGAACTGTCTCATAGGGTTTCCAAGGCTGTAATCCTTACGGAAGCAGACTGCCACATCTTTCTCCCCCACAATGGCTGGTGGGTTCAAACTGCCGACCTTTCAGTTAGCAGCTGAGCACTTAACCACTGTACCACCAGGGCTGTTTCCTTAAAGATTACAGCCTAGAAAACCCTATCGGGCAGTTCTGATCTGTCACATGGGGTCGCTGTGAGTTGAATCAACTCAACAGCACTTAACAACAGCAACACATATTTCAAATACATAAGATCAGTAAAGAAATAGAATTGTTGAAGCCAGAGAGTGAGCTCAAAGCCCTCTAGCCCTCCCAGCACAGCCTACAAAGAACCATCTCTTCACTTAGTATTGTGATGTTTGAGGCATTCCTGGGATTTTATTTTATTCTGTGCTTAACAAAAAACGGGTACTGTTCCTACTTAAGCAACTCACTCTGGAGGAATGTATGGTAAAATGTTAAAGAAAATAATTAGATTCAAATATGCCAAAATGCCAGTAGCATCATCCTTTGCTGTTTGGATGATGAATGGTTGTTATTTTCCTCCTTTATATATTTTCTGTATTTTCCACAATGGGTATGTGCTTCTTGTACAATAAGAAGAGTTAAAATTGTTATGGGGGCACGTATCAAGATATGATTTGATAGGACATGAGCCAGATACATAGAATTAAAAAAAAAAAATTTGAAATCCGTTGCCATCGAGTCAATTCCAACTCATAGCGACCCTATAGGACAGAGTAGAAGTGCGCGATGGGTTTCCAGAGCTGTAAATCTTTATGGAAGCTGACTGCCGCATCTTTCTCCCACGGAGCGGCTGGTGAGTTCGAACT